TTATTCGCTTTATCAAATTAATTTAGACATAAGATAGATTTTTGTATTTATTTTATTTCTGTAAAGAGTATACACTAATGCCTCTTTTCCACAGACTCCATCTGGCCTGGATCTACTCCATCCCACCGATTTTAAAATGTTTTTATAACTCAGTCTGTGATTTTGCCTACTTCTGAACAGATCCAAATAAAGCAAGTAACAGTACTGAAAAAAGCAGCAGAGGAAACATTTGCAAATTGGTGGGGTGGAGTAGAGACAGGCCAAGTGGAGGCAGTGGAAAGGGAGCATTAGGATGACTTTCAACAGTTGGGGAAAACATAGACAGTCATTTTAAAGTTTCCTATCTGGCTAACTTAAAAAAAATGGTATTTAAGTTTAAATCAACAGTCCGATATGTATACTATACCTTTATTTGTGAGGTTTATGGCCGACATGACCATGAACCTGTCTTTCCAGTCATGAGTCATGACCATGAAAAAACTGAAGAAAACCCTCCCATCAGTACAGCTTGGATGTAGAAAAATTATGTGTAGGAGATTTGCAGATACCTTTAAGAGAAAAGAACACTATAGGAAAATATTCAGAGGTAGGTAGGAACTAGTTACAGTTATACAGTTAGATTAACTTGAGTAAATTTTTGAAAACTATTTCTATTTTTAGGAGTATTTGTACTACACAATACCTTTTACTTTCACGTCAATAACATTTTTATCAGTTAAGAGGAGATATTGCCGCTGGATGTTCTTTATCCTTTTCTAAAATATATGTATTACAGACTTAATGTAAAGATTTATATCTATAGGTTTATGTTTTTATTTTTTTTCTACTTGTTATTTAGTAATAATGTTACATATTAGTATTTATTTTTTATATATACTCTGAAATAGCAGAATTTGCATAAAACTATGTCTGAGACAGAGATATCAGTTTAAACATTACATAAGTTTTTATGAGCCAACAAATAGATAGTTCAGAGGCAATTGCTTAAAAATGTGTGCATGACCTAGACTGCCTACAGACAGGATTTGTGAGAGATTAACAATTCCCTCAAAGGATCTCTTTCTTTAATTTGGTCTTTATCAATTAATAAAAAAAAATGTGTGTGCACCCAGCTTTAACTGATGCATAATAGTGAAAGTAAGATATAATAGCAAAATGTTTAACCTGGGTTTGAAAAACAGATTTAAACCCAGACATATTTTGTACAATTAACCATTGCATGTAACTGGGCATTACAGTAGAAAATCAGTTAAGATCCAGATAACTGCAAACTTTTTTTAAATAAGTTCTAATGCTGTCTGTGACTGAAGGGGATCCAGGGGCAGTGACCCATAATGTTTCTGTGACTTTCAAGAGCTGATACTTTAAAGGTACACTATGCAACCGGTGTTGATTTTCCAGCGAGGCTCCCCCCAGAGGGCGAAAGTAAAAGTGCACTGTCGTAAATATGCACAGCTGTTCTCCTGGTTTCTCCGTCAAGCCAGGCGCGGTTGTTTTGAGCTTTGCAGACAGGCGAACGCAACGAATGACTAACTGCACAAAGATCGGCACTGTGCTAGCAACGAGCATGCTTTTAACGGGGGGGTGTAGCAATTCTCGCCTTAAAGCAAGACCGACTCTCGCGAGACTTCTGAGCCTGTGGGTGAGGGCCGAGGGCTCCTGCAATTGCAAGTGCAGTATTTCCCCCACAGACCACCAGGGCGGCCGAGAATACCTTTGTTCAACCTGAAATGACTCATTTAATCATCCAAAACGTTATGGAACACATTCATTAACTGAAAAATGTTGCATAGTGATAGATCCCATTGTAGAAAATTATTCTTTACATTACAATTTTTTTATCTAGTGCCACCACTGATATTTTATCCTGACCTTCATATAGAGCATTGGTAGAATATACATAATACGACAGTCAGATGATGACATTGTAGAGGAAAATGAAAACTAACAAAAAGGGCAGATAGTCTCCACACAATGGAAATTGGAGAAGCACTGTTGGGCATCAGAAGCGTACCATGGTGAGAGCAGGATGTCATGAAATATGTAGGAAGGAGCAGCTTAGCACCGGAACACAAAGCCATTAAAGAAAGCCCAGTAAAACGCAGTCAGCTAGAAACATAAAGGTCTATTTCCTGATAATTTAGACATATGCACACAACATCAGTTAAAAGCCCCAAACACCCATTTCACAGCGGTGCACTCTTGCTTTTAAACATCTTGTGGTGAAAATACACACTTTAATATTTTCTCCTGTATAAACACTCTTGAATATGTTTTGTTGTTTTGTTTAACACTCAAAGAAGCAAGCATGCAAGTGTTATGTCCACGTGAGCACTAAAGAACAAGGGTAGCACACATAGACATGCTCTGTTTCACACTCTACTTCTTCCTTTTCTCTTTGTGCATAAAATGATCTCTTTTAAATCATTGATTGAATCCATGCAAAGTATCAGCAAGATACTCGGCTACAGCGAGAGGCTGTTTAGTCATTCGGCTTTACACAACAAGGCTTAGGCGGGCGAATGGTCCTGAGACAAAGTGATGCACTTACAGAAATAGTGTGACAGTTACTGATAGTCAGCTATTCTCAGCAGAGATGGAGGGGAGAACATTTTACAGTTTGTCAATATTTTTTTATATCAATAGAGGCATCAATCAATCAGCCAAAAATTTTATTTTTTCCCCTTTATCAGCTATGATGATGAGCAGGTCAAACACTGGGTTACTTTCTCCTGCATTCAGATGCTTTAAAACACATCCTCTCAATTCCAGTGTAAGTAATCAAAATAGCAGATACCTTTTGACAAAGGTTAGAGTGTATTCTTTAACTGATAAATTAGGGAAATCTAAGTCATTCATTGTCTGTTGGATTTATAAAGTCAACTCAATTTAAAAAAATCATATGATAAATGTTCCCCTTTATTAATGTGTTTTTAAAAAAAAAAAGGAATCCGCAGAATATACCCAAACTCCAAACTGGTATCAGAAAAAAAGAAAGAAAATGAAACCTGGACCTGTGCATCAGAATTAGGATAATTATTTTTCTTTTTTTTTTTATAATATTTATATTTTACTTTTGCACAGCACAACAAAGTTCCAGCTAAATGAAATGTCCTCTTATTTTCCAGACCACTCTGTTTGTCTCTTGTATGTAAAAGTTATCGCAGTTTAGAGGTTGAAGACACTGCAGACATTTTATTTCAGTCTAGTTTATCTGTTTAAAACATCCAACTGTATGACTGTCCAAAATGAGAGCCCTAACATGACACTGCCACCACCATGGATGAAAGTTAGCACAGAGGCATGGATGCTTTATTTCTGTACTACTGACTGTCTTCTCTCATTTGATCTAATTGTTTTTCTACAGGTGGCATCAGAGTTCAAAGTTCCTGGGGGGCCCATAAAACTCCTTTTACATGTATGATTAATACAACTATTCCTTATTTGTGCAAATAATTATGTTTTTGATCAAAATTATTTTGCTAAAATGCCATCAGAATGCTTATAATATTAAGTGTATCTCAGCCCCCCCTTTAGTGTCCACCACATTGGATCAGTCCATTTGCTGCACATGTACAGAAAGGTCAGCAGCAAACCATTTGAAAGCAAACGATGCAAAGAGCAGTGTTGCCAACTTAGCGCTTTTGTCGCTATATTTACTGTAGCGACTTTCAGACCCCTGTAGTACTTTTATTTCAAAAAAGTGCCTAGCGCCACATCTAGGGACCTTTTTCTGCTAGTAAAGATTTCTGCTACTGCTTGGCACTGAACTCTGGTCTCCAGAGCAAGTAAAAAGTAGGGGAAAAAAATCAATTGTTCTACTATTTCTTGACAAATGTCCAGTTCCAATTAGGTTAGAAGATTGTTAATAAACAGTGTTTTTTAAAGATTTTTTTAAATTTATCTTAATAAATAAAATAAAGAAGAAAAACATTTATTTGAATATGAGTGGTTGATATATGTATTCATATTTTTGTTTTTGCATATATAATTCTAATGCCTCTCTGGTGAAGGAAACTGTAGAAAATCTCCTACTTTTGCAACCAACACTTGTTTTTTGGAAAAAACTATATAAATTCTATTTTGTATAATAAGCTAAACTTGAAAAAGAGTTGCTCATTTAATTTATTTACAGCTGCAAGTTAACATGATATTTCTGAGTCATTGTAATACTGTGATCATTACCCTCCAAAAACCACACATATGATCAAAACACCAAGGTTTTCTTTTAAGGTCAAAAGATGCATTACAAGAGGCAAAACCTAAAACTAAAACACCATCAATGGCAACACCTAATCCAACTAAAAACTTTTAAACTGATTATAATATTACAGCACTGAAATGAACTGCCAAATCAGCAGAAGTAGAAGGTATAGGAGCAGACATTAAAAGGAAACAAATTGGACATTTTTTCTGTGTGTGCGCCTGCTGAGATTTATATATCTGTAAGACAAATATTAGGCATAAATAAATTAGAATAAAATAATGTCAAATTTGAATGAGAAAATCCATTTAGATATGGGCGTCTCAATCATTTTCTTAGTTTTATTAATAACATGTCTCTTGGGGCATCAACCTGCAGCAAAATCATAGAAATAAACAGAATCTTCATTTAATACAACTTTCTCTGGATGTTTACAATCAATAACAAATGATTACTTTCATAACCACCACGCCCAGTCTCAGCTTCATCATTTTTTCCTTTAATATGAAGCAAAGTTCATCCTAACTTCTCTCCATACAACTCACATTTATATTGCTATTTATATTCACATTTATATCCGTGTCTCTCTCTGTCACTGTATGGAGCAAAGCAAAGCATCCTACAGGAAATTATAACAGGAAATGATAGCAGGGAAGGATGCGCACAAAACGATGTTTCTCCAAGCAAACCTCGTGACACGGTGGGAATAATAATCCCCGTAATGCTACAGTTTACCTTCTTTGTTTGTGTTCAAAGATCAAATAAAAAAAGCCACATCCACGAGGCTTTCCTCTACCTGAATGGTGCACGAGATCTCAGAGTCATCCAGTAACCTGATCGTGCAGAGGAGCTCCTGGTCCAAGGAGCGGATGCTGGGGCTGCGAAACCGGAGCATTTTCATCCTTGAGTCGGCGTCGGTCTCAGCTCCTCATGTCAGTGGCCCCGAGCGCGAAACAGACGCAAAGATAATAAATAGATGAATAAAAATGCATCGAAGAGGGGGGTCGCGTTTACGCAAGGCATAACATGTGTCCGTCGGGTCTCGTCAACCTTTGAACCGCCCTTGGAGGTGAATGGATGAATGAATGAATGAATGAATGAATGAATGAATGAATGAATGAATGAATGAATGAGTGGAGGTGAACCGATCAGATAATGGATGGATGCGACAGAGCAGGAGGAAAGAGGTGTTGGATCTATCTGCTGTAGATGGAGCCCGCTGATTGATCTTCAGCAGGGATGATGATCCCCCCCCTCCTCCCCTTTCTCTCTCTCTCTCTCTCTCTCTCTCTCTCTCTCTCTCTCTCTCTCAGTCTGGTTCAATTCAGCTTCCAATGTGTTCATTACATTTCAAATTTCTTTAATATATTTATTAGTGCTTCATATGTATATATATATATACATATATATATATATATACATATATATATACATATATACATATATATATATATATACATATATATATATACATATATATATATATATATATATATATATATATATATATATATATATATATATATACATATATATATATATATATATATACATATATATATATATATATGTATGTATATATATATATATCTATATATATATATATATATATATATATATATATATATATATATATATATACATACATATATATATATATACATATATACATATATACATATATATATATATATATATATATATATATATATATATATATATATATATATATATATATATATATATATATATATATATATATATATATATATATATATATATATACACAGTGGGGCAAAAAAGTATTTAGTCAGCCACCAATAGTGCAAGTTCTCCCACTTAAAAAGATGAGAGAGGCCGGTTATTTTCATCATAGATATACCTCAACTATGAGACACAAAATGAGAAAAAAAAATCCAGAAAATCACATTGTCTGATTTTTAAAGAATTTATTTGCAAAATATGGTGGAAAATAAGTATTTGGTCAATAACAAAAGTTCATCTCAATACTTTGTTATATACCCTTTGTTGGCAATGACAGAGATCAAACGTTTTCTGTAAGTCTTCACAAGGTTTTCACACACTGTTGCTGGTATTTTGGCCCATTCCTCCATGCAGATCTCCTCTAGAGCAGTGATGTTCTGGGGCTACACAGACTTTCAACTCCCTCCAAAGATTTTCTATATGGGGTTGAGATCTGGAGACTGGCTAGGCCACTCCAGGACCTTGAAATGCTTCTTACGAAGCCACTCCTTCGTTACCCGGGCGGTGTGTTTGGGATCATTGTCATGCTGAAAGACCCAGCCACGTTTCATCTTCAATACCCTTGCTGATGGAAGGAGGTTTTCACTCTAAATTTGACGATACATGGCCCCATTCATTCTTTCCTTCACACGGATCAGTCGTCCTGGTCCCTTAGCAGAAAAACAGCCCCAAAGCATGATGTTTCCACCCCCATGCTTCACTGTAGGTATGGTGTTCTTTGGATGCAACTCAGCATTCTCTCTCCTCCAAACACGACGAGTAGAGTTTTTACCAAAAAGTTCTATTTTGGTTTCATCTGGCCATATGATATTCTCCCAGTCATCGTCTGGATCATCCAAATGCTCTCTAGCAAACTTGAGACGGGCCTTGACATGTACTGGCTTAAGCAGGGGGACACGTCTGGCACTGCAGGATTTGAGTCCCTGGCGGCGTAGTGTGTTACTGATGGTAGCCTTTGTTACTTTGGTCCCAGCTCTCTGCAGGTCATTCACTAGGTCCCCCCGTGTGGTCCTGGGATTTTTACTCACCGTTCTTGTGATCATTTTGACCCCACGGGGTGAGATCTTGCGTTGAGCCCCAGATCGAGGAAGATTATCAGTGGTTTTGTATGTTTTCCATTTTCTAATAATTGATCCCACAGTTGATTTCTTCACACCAAGCTGTTTATCTATTGCAGATTCAGACTTCCCAGCCTGGTGCAGGTCTATAATTTTGTTTCGGGTGTCCTTTGACAGCTCTCTAGTTTTGGCCATGGTGGAGTTTAGAGTGTGACTGTTTGAGGTTGTGGACAGGTGTCTTTTATACCGATAACGGGTTCAAACAGGTGCCATTAAAGCTGCAGTCTGTAACATTGAGAAGAGAGCAGACTTTGACTGAAAATTTGAAGAAAAACAGGTTTCACGCCACTCCCCGACCCTCTCTGCTTCACTCATGCCCCACCTCCAAGCCCCACCCCTCTCACAGCACCTGCGCGGCTACCGCATGCGACCAGAAGCGACCAAGCAGCGTACGCGGCATGGAGTGTGAACCGGTTAGAGCGATAACACTCACCTCCAAGCAGCTAGATATAAGATGCTGGTTATACCGAAGTTTGCCGTGTAAGCAGTTGTCGGCAGGGGCAGTAAGGGCAGTTTCTCTTTCTCTGGTGGCTGTCGCTCCGCCATGACTTCCACGCGCGTCCTCCTGACTGCGGCAGCCGGGCGCTGCGGCAGGTTAAGCGGTGAGGGGGGGGAGCTGTGATTGACACTCCATCAGACGCTCCTCTGGCTGTGATTGGTTGTTTTGACTCGTCCCGAATTATTCTTTCCAGATTGAAATACAGGCAGTATGTGGGACCAATTGAAGCAGTTTTTTTCACAGATTACATATCACATGTACTGCTGTCTGGGCATAGGGACAGTTTTAGCCAATATGACAAAAAAGTGATTTTTAAAAACTTACAGACTTTCAGCTTTAATGAAGGTAACGAGTGGAGGACAGAGGAGCCTCTTACAGAAGAAGTTACAGGTCTGTGAGAGCCAGAAATCTTGCTTGTTTGTAACTGACCAAATACTTATTTTCCACCATATTTTGCAAATAAATTCTTTAAAAATCAGACAATGTGATTTTCTGGATTTTTCACTGCATGAAAAGTGAGATTTTCGTCCCCGTAAACCCCCGTAAACTCCCGCAGATCTGCCTGATTTTCGTCAGTTTCCGACAATTTGCAACCCGTGCTTGTCCGCGTTTGTCGTGCCACAAATTGTCGGAAACGTACCGTGACGTATGTGGAGAGCGATCAGCTGTACTAATGGCCCTAATTAGCATATGATTCTGAATGCAGCTGGCCAGGTCTGGCTTGAATAACCTTCTCAGTATTGGCTGAAACCACTATTCTTAAACAAATGAAATCGCTCGTGATTGGCAGCAAAACCACACGTGGCCACGCCAGGCTTTAATTTTCTTACTGAGTATTGGACGGAACCACTTCTTTTTAAACAAGTAAAGTCGCTCGTGATTGGTTGGCATATATATATATTTTAGTGCTGTCAATCGATTAAATTTTTTAATCGCGATTAATCGCATCAATGCCTGAGTTAACTCGCGATTAATCGCATTTTAATCGCACATTTTTTTCCTGATTGAAAATCATTTAAATACTCTCGATGACATACAAAAAAATACATACAGGCTAGGTTTGTGCCAATGTTCTTTTTTTTAAATGAAAACAGGTCACAGATACTGATTTATGCCATAGAAACATATGGCAAGAAGATGGGGAGGCATGTAGCAAAAAATAACAAATATGTAGCCAAAAAAAAAGGCCCTGAAAACAGGCTGATGTAAATGACAGTCTTTACAGTTAATACAGTCTTTTGAACAAAGACAAGCATTTTACCCTACTGCTATAAAATGTAGTAGAGTTAACATTAGATGTTAATTAACCAAGGTAATAATGAACAATTTTCAATCAATACATCAAAATCAATAGACCGACATCACTAGATGAAGGTAGTCTATCCTCTAGAAAGTTACTTTTCAGCCTCTTAACAAAAATGAGAACACACACACACCCACTCACCCACACACAGACACACACGACCTGTTGCGTACACAGACGGCAAGAGTGCTGCTACGAGATTCCATTTCACCTCAGTAATCTGTTTTCTCAGCGTATTTCAGGTTGCTACTAGTTACCAGACACTCAACTTGTTTGTTAGTGGTGGGGCTTAAAGAAAAGGCACTAGCGCTACCCAGTGTATGAGCGTCTTTTTCCCTTGAGGAGCTCCGCTCTTGAAGCCTATGAGAAATGCATAGACTGGGGGAAAATAGCCCCGCCTTCCCGCAGGCTGCAGCGGGATGTACTTGGAAAATTGTACCATAAAACCACATAGCGTTAATCTCACGTTAAAAAAATTATCGCCGTTAAAATGGCCTCGCGTTAACGCGTTAATAACGCGATAATTTTGACAGCACTAATATATTTACATATACATATTTATTCATATATATATATATATTTATTCATTCATATATTTATTCATTCATATATTTATTCATTCATATGGTGTGTATTTATGTTACCCTACACTACTACACAATTATTATGCTACCATCAAGGACATGAATGAATTTATACAGGAAATGAACATTTGCCAGGAAGCTGTTTATGCAAAGAAAGAGCTTTATTGAAACACACACAACTATATACAACGCGTATCCAAACACATGCGTTTCTAAAAATTAAAACTCCGTGAACGGTCCGTTTGCTTCCTCGGGGTTGGAGGTAAGTGGCAGCATTCCCTCCGAGGCAGGTCCGATGTGCAGACGCCTAGTGTGCGTGGCCCTGTACTTCGGCATCGCTTCTAACCGGGACTGCAGCTTAACACAGAGTTCAGTGAGATCCGGCCTACGAAATGGCGGCGACCGTACAATCCATCCAGAGACACCGCGACGACGGCGGACTTCCAGAGTTCCACTTCCTCATCTGCTAGCACACTCTGCCTCGCTTTCAGCAGCTGAAAAAAACAAACAATGAATCAGCGCACTGCGTATGGACACAACACATCTATTAATGCACCTGAAAAATAGTCACCAAATAAAGTCTTACCCTCTTTCTTCTGGCCCGACTCTGAGCAGATTGCCTCCGCACGCAGCGTGTGGCTGGCAGCGTATATCTGAAGCTCCTGCGTACCGTCTGAAAATACGTCTTACAGGCAGCTGGAAAACAATTAAATGAGAGTGGTATAAATAAAAAATCAAACGCAAGTCACAGTAACAAGGAAGGAGAAAACATTAAAACAAGTCACTTACACACAATGTCGTCTTTATCAACATCGTGCAAATCTTGACTTGCTGATTATGGCTCCGAGCAAATAGGAGGTCACCGCCTCATTGTGAGGCGACAGTAGTCTGTGAAAACAAAATGTAAAAGCTATGATCGGTATCTATCCGTATCCATTGCCTTTTACCGCAGAATGAAAGCATATTCTTTAAATCTTACCCTTGCTCCGGTTCATAGCGCCTGCAATTAGTCTCCGAGTTGTTAAGACGGCGTACTGCTTCCTGTAATCACAAAAAATACACTTTAATAAAGCTTGTTCTTGCAAGGCTAGGCTAGATAGGCTAATAGCTAGGCTGCTATTAGCCGGTAGCTTAGGCTAGGCTGCTTTTAGCTTAGCAGGCAGTAATCGAACATATATTTACCGCTAGCATCTCTTCTTTGAGTTCGTCTTGTTCGATGCAGAGTCACCATCGCGTCCAAGAGGAGTTTTACCCCAAAATCCAGACGCTCCAGACCGCCTGCACAAAGCAAAGCATCCATCCTCCACTGTGGCTGCACACCCCGCCGCTCTAAGTTTCTTGGAGACCGTACAGAGCATGCGCGAGATGAACCAGAGTTTCGGCGGATCAATAAAAATAATTAAAAAATCATTCTTTTTTTTTTTTTTTATCAAGGCCTTAATTGGCACTAAAATTATTTAAATATGTTTATCGAAGTATTTATAATTCTTTAATAAAAAATGCTTATAAAAACAATTTCGTCAGATATATTATATCGCTCCAGGCGGAGAAAAAGCTAGAGGATATATATATACGTATATATGTGTGTGTGTGTTTACATACATACAGGAGTCATGGAACTCTGCTTACAGCTCCTTCATATTTCATGTACACTAATAACTTGTGTACATGGTTCTTGTTGATGGCATTAAAATCATTTCTAATAGCATTAAAATAGCATTAAATTAGAGTCACTCATTCCTGTATGAACCCTGTGAGCGCTTAATTTAATATGACATATTAAAAAAATCCCACCATCATCCAGCATATGTTCAGTTTCTGCCCAAATATATATATATATATTTTTTTGTAGATTTTTGTAACAGAGATAAGGATAATTCAAAACTGCTTTTTTTTTTATGAACTTGTTCTCTACAACTTAGCATCTCTTTTCATTCCTGTAATAAGAAGTTTTGTTTTAACTGGATTTGATTAAACTTTAAGTCCCTCGGTATAAAATAAATATTTTGATGGAGATGAGAAATCTGCTTCCTGGTTGGTGAATAACCAATAGTTTGGATCCAATCATTTAAATAAACGGTGTTAGTTTTTTTTTTTTTTTTTTTTAGATATTTATAAGAATTGCGCTATAATTTCTAGTCACCAATCTGTTGCTGCTATATTTTAATTTGACGAACCGGAATTTGTCGATGTTCTTTTTCCTGTTTGGTGCAATTGCAATTGCGGATCTTGACCTGGCCAGACCGTATGACCACAGTGTACCAATCTTCTGATGGCTACTTCCAACAGGATAATGCGCCATGTTATAAAGTGAATCATCTCAGACTCATTTCTTGAAACTTTTCCACTTAAGTAATTGTGAATTGAGCATATTGACAGACAATATTTTATTTTTTATCTTAAATGCAAATTTTTAAAAAAAATAATTACTGCTCTAAATGTATTGCTCTGTCAGCAAAAGATCTGTTTTGGTCTCTATACTTTAATTAAATAAATCAATTCAAGCTAAAATGTGAGAGGCTATACTAAGCCTGATCTCTTTGTATCAGAGATTTTCTTCCTCAGAAAGATGTCACTTGGGGTAAAACCCCCCCTGCAACCCTGGTTTGCATTTGTATAGCTCACAGCATGTTCATTTACATGTTAAAGCCTCCCCTAGAATTCCATGGGGGGGAGGCATGGGGGGAACACTGCCTAAGAAATTCCACGTCAATTTCTGACAATTTACGGGAGTTTTCGACGAAGCCTGCAAATTGCCGTAAACTGCCGCTAACCTGAAGTTCCACGACAATCAACAGTGCCGTATATTGACGAAAATCCCACTTTTCATGCAGTGTTTTTTTCTCATTTTGTCTCTCATAGTTGAGGTATATCTATGATGAAAATTACCGACCTCTCTCATCTTTTTAAGTGGGAGAACTTGCACTATCGGTGGCTGACTAAATACTTTTTTGCCCCACTGTATATATAAATATATATATATATATATACATATATATACATATATATATATGTATGTATGTATGTATGTATGTATGTATGTATGTATGTATGTATGTATGTATGTATGTATGTATAGATAGATAGATAGATAGATAGATAGATAGATAGATAGATAGATAGATAGATAGATAGATAATTTTTTTATACATTTATTTTATGCCTTTCTTGTCCAAGCACACAAGAACGGGCCCGCAAGCAGCTTTATCTGTGGGCCCCATATGAAGTAGAACACCTCTCGATTACCCATAATTCCAAGTCGTAGCAAAAAAAGAATTAAATACTCAAATACATTGTTCTTTTTAAGATCTTATTGCGGTTTAAACACATTATATGAGCGTATTTTTTTTTACCAACCGTCTAATGAACTATACAAAGTTATTAACATAGCAAATAAAAGTACCACTGTCTGCTTTGCTATTGGTGTTTTGTTTAAACGGCTCACCATCATGTTGAACTCGGACATACAGGTGCTGGTCATAAAATTAGAATATCATGAAAAAGTTGATTGATTTCAGTAATTCCATTTAAAAAGTGAAACTTGTATATTATATTCATACATTACATACAAACTCATATATTTCAGATGTTTATTTTGTTTAATTTTGATGATTACAAATGACAACAAATGAAAATCTCAAATTCATCATATCAGAAAATTAGAATATTGTGAAAAGGTTCAAAATTGATGGCCCCTGGTGCCACACTCTAATCAGCTAATTAACTCAAACCACCTGCAAAAGCCTTTAAATGGTCTTTCAGTCTAGTTCTATAGGCTACACAATCATGGGGAAGACTGCTGACTTGACAGTTGTCCAAAAGACGACCATCGACACCTTGCACAAGGAGGGCAAGACACAAAAGGTCATCGCTAAAGAGGCTGGCTGTTCACAGAGCTCAGTGTCCAAGCACATTAATAGAGAGGCGAAGGGAAGGAAAAGATGTGGTCGAAAAAAGTGTACAAGCAAGAGAGATAACCGCACCCTGGAGAGGATTGTGAAACAAAACCCATTCAAAAATGTGGGGGAGATTCACAAAGAGTGGACTGCAGCTGGAGTGAGTGCTTCAAGAACCACCACACACAGACGTATGAAAGACATGGGTTTCTGCTGTCGCATTCCTTGTGTCAAGCCACTCTTGAACCACAGACAGCGTCAGAAGCGTCTTGCCTGGGCTAAAGAGAAACAGGACTGGACTGCTGGTGAGTGGTCCAAAGTCATGTTCTCTGATGAAAGTAAATTTTGCATTTCCTTTGGAAATCAAGGTCCCAGAGTCTGGAGGAAAAGAAGAGAGGCACTTCATCCACGTTGCTTGAAGTCCAGTGTAAAGTTTCCACAGTCAGTGATGGTTTGGGGTGCCATGTCATCTGCTGGTGTTGGTCCATTGTGTTTTCTGAGGTCCAGGGTCAACGCAGCCACATACCAGGAAGTTTTAGAGCACTTCATGCTTCCTGCAGCTGACCAACTTTTTGGAGATGCAGATTTCATTTTCCAACAGGACTTGGCACCTGCACACAGTGCCAAAGCTACCAGTACCTGGTTGAAGGACCATGGTATCCCTGTTCTTAATTGGCCAGCAAACTCTCCTGACCTTAACCCCATAGAAAATCTATGGGGTATTGTGAAGAAGAAGATGCAATACACCAGACCCAACAATTCAGAAGAGCTAAAAGCCACTATTAGAGCAACCTGGGCTATCATAACACCTGAGCAGTGCCACAGACTGATCGACTCCATGCCACGCCGCATTGCTGCAGTAATACAGGCCAAAGGAGGCCCAACTAAATACTGAGTGCTGTACATGCTCATACTTTTCATGTTCATACTTTTCAGTTGGCCAACATTTCTATAAATCCTTTGTTTTTATTGGTCTTCAGTAATATTCTAATTTTCTGATATGATGAATTTGAGATTTTCATTTGTTGTCATTTGTAATCATCAAAATTAAACAAAATAAACATCTGAAATATATGAGTTTGTATGTAATGTATGAATATAATATACAAGTTTCACTTTTTAAATGGAATTACTGAAATCAATCTACTTTTTCATGATATTCTAATTTTAGGACCAGCACCTGTATGTTGGGGTATAAATCCTTTGAAGAGGGATTTTTCGCACCTTTACGTCTTCAGTCAGACGTCCTAATCTATAGGTGCAAAGGGGGGGCACCAGGTTTCAGTGACGGGGCCCCAAAGAGGTCGGGGGCCCCTGAGCAACTGCAGTCTCTGCTTACCGATAGTTACGCCATTGATTTCAATGCCTGCAGTAATGACGTCAAAGACAGGTCATTGCAGACGTGCTCGTTTGTTTTGATGTAACGGAGTGCATCTCGCTGCTGTACCTTTAAATAGTGAGCAGGCGCAGGCACTGTGCGTCAGCACGCATCAGCACAGCTGACTGCCAGGGGCCATCCGCACACGGAGCAGGAGGGAATGTTACCTTCATTTGGTGTTTTTCTGCTGAGCACTGTCGCTTGTTACCCTTTCTGCAGAGGCGTTGTTCTTTCTCCGAATGTTTAATAAATAAAGTTGGCTTTTTGTCGGCAGGGTTTTACTGTTTCACTGCTGCGGAAGCGCTACGGAAACATCACTAATCCATTCAGTGTAGGCCAGCGGTGAGTCAAGAATGTGCAGTTGGGTGAAGATTTGTAAAAAGCCACGAATTACAGCAGCGTGTCCTATAAGTTTTAAAAGTATATATATATATATATATATATATATATATATATATATATATATATATATATATATATATATATATATATATATATATATATATATATATATATGTATGTATGTATGTATTAACTTATCGATAAACAGTTTTATACATCGTAGCAGTTATAGGTTCCCCTTTCTGATTACAATGGAACTGTACCACTGTAGGTAAACTCGTATGTCAATCACAAAACAGAAGGCAAATGAAAACAAACAAGTACTCAATACAAAAGAAAAATGAAAATAATAAATTACATTTAAAATATACCATAAGTTATGAAAGATGGTATGCTCAGATCAAAAATGGATAGGTTAATGGCTAAAAGAAACAGCAGTCCAATTACAGAAAAGGATAGGAAAAACTGCAAATAATGGCATTGATGTAAAAAAGCCTTCCTATATCTGATTTGAATCTGGGAAACTGACAGCAAGGGTGTAAACACTTATTGGACCTGATGAAAGCATAACGATTAAAGAAGTCATGTCACCCTTTTGCCAAGAGGAAAGCATTTACTCTTTTATGAAAAATTACAACAAGACATAGCAAGATAGGGATATTTGATCTCTCTATATAATCCAGAGTCAACTATTATATATCCATCTCTGTAGTTTACCCTATAAAGGATAGATTGTGAAAGCTACCATCACATTTTCTATTGAAAATATCACAGTATTTTAAATATGGCACAATTTACGTTTACAGTAATTACGGGATCCTTTAATTGGCATCTTTAAGCCAACATAGTCCCATAGCATCATAAATATTAGACTTAGACAGACTTTTTTTTTAATTTGTTTAAGCACAAATAAATCCCTTTCGTTGAAACATTTATTCCTTTATCTTTTATTTTTACATTGGTACTGAAAGGTTTCATTTACCCATAATAACTGTGGAGGTTTTCCTGTTGATTTGAGTTGCATCATTTCAAGCATAAATAGCTCCTGAAACCTTCTAGGCTTAATAAGTTAAAGGTCGTTGTTTAGAGATGTGATCTTAGAGAAGTTTGTTTCTTCAATAAGGACATTTAGCAGGTTTCTTGTATTTGGGTTGTTATTTTAGTCAATTGAAGGATCCGAAAACTTCATCAACCCTTAAAATTCAATATAGTTTTTTTTCTTGTATCATTTATTGTAGCACAAGAAATGCATTGAGACCTGTGAGCAGACAGGATGATCTACATCATAATGGGAGTTTCAGGCTGTGGAAAGTAAGTAATTTTACATTTAAGGGTTACTATCTGGATTGATTTAAACATTATTACACTAACTTTTGTTGCTTAAAAATATGTATACATTGGATGTTTTTTATGGGGCTGCTCAGTGACGTAGTGGGTAGCACTGCTGCCTTGCAGCAAGAAGTTTCCTGGTTCGATTCTTTCTCCATGGAGTTTGCATTTTCTCCTTGTGCATTCGTGGGTTCTCCCCGGGTACTCCGGCCTTCTCCCGCAGGTCTGAGCATTTTTGTCTCTCCCGGATGAGATTGCGTTAGCTCCTCGCTGATGCACAATCCATCTTTCTGTGGAGAGTGACTATGGTGTTCTGGTATTTCTGGATTATTCAGCTTTGTTTTAATATAAGGGTGAACACTTTATATGGAATTCTATAAGAAATTTGGACGATACTTTAGACCTGTGCCAGGAAATGAGCCAGTTTAAATGAGCTCGAGCCATTTTGCCAAAAAGAGTGGCTTGAAATAGCATCTAAATCACTCTAGGAGCTTGTTGATTGGTGGCACCAAAAAGTGAGCTGCTAAAGATGCAATTTCCAATTTAAGAGTTAATATGATCATTAAAAGGATCAAAAGACTTATGCTAAAATACTGCACAATATGAAATGTGGTTATAGACCTTAAAAAAATCAAGAGAATACTATGGTTAAGATAGTAATGCTGTGACCAATCTATTTAAATGTCTCTTAGTAAAATATCTGAAGATTTTTCCCTAAATTGTTCATTAGTCTTAAAATAGCTTTATTAATAATTAGTCATCTGATTCCCATCATTACTTTTTCTAAAAGTTATTGTGAACATTTGCTAATTTTTGGCGTTTTTTCTTGTTTTTTCGAATAGAACCAGTTTAGGGACGTCTCTTTCTGAAAAGGTAAATAAATCAGGATGATTCTTTACCAGAACACAACACTGTCTCATTACTTTATCTTGATATGAAGGTGATACTAACCTTCTCATGTAATTGTCCATAGCTTGGCTGGCCCTTCTATGAAGGAGATAACTTCCACCCTCAAGAGAACATTGATAAGATGGCTCGAGGTGAACCTCTCACAGATCAGGTCTGCTCAGGAATGATTTATTATCATGTTTATGGACATATTTCATATATTAGTTCCAGGAACTCTAAAGCTGGGTCAGAACTTCACAGTTAAGACTGCATTTTAGATATTTAGGTCTGGCTATCAGTTTGAACCACCAGGCAGAGACAGTCTGGCAGCATTTGGCACCAGGTTGCTGTTAGCTGCGGTTGGAAGCAGATGATAACTTCCCACGCACAGCTTTATTCTGAACGCTGAGGAGGAATACCTCTGTCCAACACTTGCTGCAATGTTTCACTGACAGCCAACAGTTGGCAGACTGAGATTAAACGATGAAGTGTTGCAGAACTGTAAATAAAGGATTACTGCCAGGTTTCATTAAAAAAAAATAAAAATCTTCCTGTCATATCGTTGTTAACTGGCAGAATGAGGTTAACATAAGCAAAACAAGTTGAAGCCTGTGAGATTCCTTTTCTGAGCAAATTCATCCTAAAAAACTCTACCTGATGTTTTAATTTTATTTGCATTATTTTAAACAGCCTTTAATGTGTTGAGCGAGTGAATATTGGCAAAGAAGTTCTTAAGATTAAATCAAAGTATTGTGAAATTGTAATAACAGCTACTTTTAATTGATTTGTCTTCTTAATGCTCAGGGAAAACGTTCAACTATCTTGTTTTGTATCATTTGAGTGATTTTTAAATGTAGAAACTGATTATTTAAACATGTATTCTTCTGTCAAATCTCCTTTAACCCACTGGTTGCAAATAATAGATTCAAATGGAATCATCATTTAAAAGCTATATTTTGTATTTTTACAGGTTGTTATGTCTCTGTGCCAATAATACCCCATTTGCATGTCTGTTTATGAATGTTTGCGCATCAGCGTGGGTGATGGGTAAATGTGCAATATAAATTCTGTAGATTTAGCATCTTTTTGCCCATGATTTAATGTCAGACTACCTAAATTTTTTTTTTTCTGAATGGCCATGTATTCATCTGCTCTGACTAAAGTGCACAGATCCAGTAAAAGTCTCATAGTTTTTAAAACTTCTCACATTTATGTTTTTAAAGATTTGACATTGAAGATTTTTTTCTGGAGCCAGTTAGCATGAAGAAAACCTCTTATGGTTACTGTGATACCAAGATGCCATTCAGTTCTTCATAGGAACACAGGATTTGTTCTACTCCTTTATTATCATCCCTTATGTATTTGGGGACAGACTAAATGTAAGTTTGTGCTCTGTGAGCAATGACCAAAAAAAAAAAAGTCTGTTGGAGCATCAGGAAAACAGGAAGTCATTAGTTGAATTAAAACAAATTCTTGAATAATTTTATTTTGAAGAATTCGTCCAGTGCATGGACAGTTGTGCCTCTAATTTACAAACAGTTAATTCTTAACCTGTATTTATTTTCTTCCCCTTCAAATAAACCCCTGATTTAAATAAATTTATGAAACCTAGTTTTATGCATTTTTCACATCTTAAATAGGGGTTATGGAAAATCTGTCTGTCTCTAGTTGATGTGTTAGAACAACATTAAAAAGCATTTGAATCTGATTCTCACAACTTTCCTTGCAGCTGACCTAAAATCTGACACATCTCTTCTTCTAATGATACTTTTCAGGATTTACATTATTTGCTTTTGATATCCTAAGCACTGGGTTCTTAAAGTTTACAAACTACCCGTGTGTTTCCTGCATTTTGTCTTCATAAATTTAAATCTAAAAAAATAACTAAACATTCTGTTTGCTCAAAGGAAAATGTTTTTTTTTCAGGACAGATTTCCTTGGCTTCTAAGACTACATGAAATCATTGAGAGGTAAGAATAAATTGTACCATAAAAGGAAAACAAGAAAACGAAAAACTATTATTTTCACCTTATGTTAAGTTACATCCAGTATAACAACATCTTTAGCATTTAAAGCAAGGAGCAAAGTGTGTAGCAATAGAATGTCGGCTATTTTTAGTGATGGAAGCAACACAAATTCAGTCTTACAAATCTCAGACACTCAGCAGTGAGGTAAGAAAGAACAGGCGTAACAATGCTCAAAAACATCAGAAAACATTGAATGTGGGTTAGAAAATTAAGGTGAAAACCGGAAAGGTTTTGTGGGAGTAAAGACGGATTTAGTTAGAGCATGAGGAGGAGAAGTGAAGATGTTAAAACGTACATGGTAACATCAAAGACTGCTTCTCCTTGGCATCCATATGGCACTATTTTTCACAGCCTGCTAATCATTGGTATGCTTAATGCTAACTTTAACATAAGGTTTTATTCCTCCCTTCAACAATATTAACCATGCGGTGTAAAAGAAGCCGTTCTTGACATCTTCACGTGTTCTCGTCACAGAGAAAGGTGTTCCGGCTCAGATGCTCTCATAGCTTGTTCAGCTCTGAAGCGTCTCTACAGGCACATCCTCCTCCATGGCTCGATGTCCGGGGCTCCAACTATTTGCTCACACCAAACCACCTCACATTCAGCCTCTCCAGAGGTCTTCTTCCTGTACCTGCACGGTGACTATGATCTCATTCACCAGAGGATGGTGGCCCGACAGGGACATTACATGAAGGCAGAACTGTTGCGCTCCCAGTTTGATATTTTGGAGCCTCCATCAGAGGAGGAGAACATGCTAACCCTGGACATTCGGAAGAGCCTGAGTGAGATGATCCTGGAGGTTGAGAAGCACATTAAAAGCCTGAAGCTGTGATGCTGGAATCACTGCAGCAGTTAAAAAAATAAACCTGACTTTATCTGTATAGCATTGAAAAGACCATTCAACCCAGATGTCATACATATCCCTACACATCAATGATAAACATATCATTTGCTAAATTGCAATGCCTTTTTTTGATAATCTTGTTTGTTCCCTTAACCTTTAAGTAAGTTAACCTTAACCTTTGAATAAGTTTTTATTTGAAAATGTAATTTCAGTTTTGAATGCTTGGTACTGGTGTGCATGATTTTCTACTCAAACTTTTTGTTGGGTTCCATTAGCTGATAAAAGTTTACCAAATTGCTAAGAACATTACCATAAGCTTATTGAGAATTAAAGTATACAATACAATAAAAAAAAAGGTTTAAACTTCTTTTTTTACACTGAAATATGAAGTGTTTAGCAATTAGCAAAAGTTCAGGATTAAAACACCAGCTTACAACTATAACTATACCTTTAGCTTTCTTCCCTTTAGCATCACGCATTCTATAAAAGCACACTGAGTGGATTTGTCAAGATCTAACCAGAAAATATGATCATTCTTCTTTTAATTCCTGTTGATATAAACACATCTAGCAGCAACGTATCTAGCCGCCAGGTTAACAAACCTATTATGAAAAAAAGGAGCAAGTTAGATTCAGCTGAGCCTCAACCCAAATGCACTACGTCTGAACAAAATAACAGATTTAAACCTTTTAGGGAGCTAGAAATAAGGACGACGCTGGCCTTCAATATTAGGAGCTCACCATCCAAGATTAATCGTCAAAATACTGTTGAAGACATGCAGGAAGCTGCTCAGCAGTTATAAGAAGGATTTGATGTAATGCAATTAAATATTATTCGAATTGTGATTTAGCATGGATATAAAGTATTGTCATCATGCTACTTTTTTATTTAATGTAGTTGAAAAACAGATGATATTTTAAACTAATGGTCCCTGCATGATGACCGATTATGCTTTGAGAGATGTTCATTTCCTGCAGGAAGCAAACTGTGAGGTTTCATGAAAATAAGTGTTACGTCTTGTTTAACTGCAGGAATTAAGAGTTTTGCTCAACATTGTGTTGAAGCATCTCAGGCAGCAGTTCCAGCCTCAGGCATCTCTTTGCAACTGGGCTCACCTCTTTTAAAGGATTTTGCAGCCATTCTTCTAAAGCTCAGTCAGCTTTAGAAAGAACTTCTCTCCCCAGAGGAGCAGATTATCTTTATTCTAGTATCGCCTCCATGTTAGCTCCTAATTTGTGCCCATTTTAAATTGAAACTTAGAAATGAATCCTTGTAGTTTTGTTTAACATCCTGATGTAATCTTGGATATTATTCTCCTTCAGCCTGAAATAAGAAATCTATGTTTCTGTTAACATACTGCAAATAACCTCAGTACCTGTTTGGTGGAGTTAAAACCCGCATAAGTTTGAGTTAAGATTAATTGTATGTTTCTACGTTCTAAGCTGCAGCCTGTGTGCTTGTTTGAAACACTGATCCTCTTGGAAACATAAAAAAGGGCCTAAATTCTTGAGCGGAGCTTTAATGTTCTTAGATGTTTTAATGTGATTATTATTAATCATCTTGTTCATTATAATGGGGAAAGTCTCACCATTAAGAATCATTGCAGATAATTATATTTTGGTATGTGCTAGATTTCTTTTTACACTAGCACAAAACAACATCCATAAATACTTGAATGTAATTTAAAGTATTTATTGGTTTGGTTTGGGGATATATTTTTCAATTGATTGAAATAAATCTTAAATACCTTTGCCTTAAATGAAATAAACACCCAACAAGTGCAAATTCTGACGTTTTGTTATTTACAGACCAACATCACTATAGAATAAGTGCAAAGGTGGAAGGTAAGTGTCACTCCTCACTGTTTTTAAGTTTTTTGGCTTCTTCAGGAGACACACTCATAAGGGGAGAGAGAGACGGCTCCACTCCATACCGAAGGGCTGTTTCTGTGCCGTGACTCATCTTCAAACTTCAACCCGAATATTTTTGGAGCTTCTAATCCAGAAAACCCCCTCAGCTACTCCCATATCTTTCACACTCACACAGCCAGAGATTAAACCCCCTCAGCCTGCCAGCCACAGATAAACACAGGCAGGTTGTCAAGAGTAGAACAAGAACACATGTGTAACGTGGAGAACATGTCCTGTTTGTTAGGTAGCTAAACAACTCAAAGTAACATGCATATGACAGTGATCAAATTTACTTATACAGACATTAGTTCTCTTTCACCCATGATATGAATTAATCTAGAGTGCTGTTTGAATCTCAGGCCAAAGAAAAAAAAATGAAAAAGTCAAACAAAACTGCCCTCTGGTGTCTGAAGATGTTTACTGCACTGCTAGCTAGGTTTGCAGGCCAAGCTCATTCAATTCATATTTTCTCAAACCTTATTTGAGTTTAAAAAAAATCACAAATATACAAAAGTGTACTAACTTTAACTTTTTATTCTGTATAATCGTCTATTTCATTACCAAAACACATCAAACAGCATAAAATAACCTTTCTTGTTAAATATAAATACAAATAAAACTCAATTAACCTGGGGTTAAATACTATTAACTCTAGTGAGACAAATGTAAAGATACACCAATAACAAAATGTTGGACATTCAGGTTTTTATTTTGAACCGACAATGCCAGCGACGGGGATAAGAGAATTAAGCTGGTAGTCCTTAACCGTGATGCATCAAGGAGGTAGAAAAGCAAAGAAAATTCTAGCAAACAAATTATCAAGAAGGTTTAGTTAAACTAAGAAAGTTGCTGTTTTATAATAATAAGTTGGCAAATGTTTTTAAAGGAATAACTTGGCAAATAAGAACTGCTCCTTGTCTTGATAGGAAAATTGAAGCATGTTTGATTTGTAACAACACTTTTATGATTCTGTGAATCATTTGATAAAGTAAGGTCGGCCAAGGAAACTATGCATCTTCTTCCGCTTATCCAGGGTCGGGTCACGGGGGTAGCAGCTTCAGTTGGGAGGCCCAGACGTTCCTCTCCGCAGCCACTTGGGCCAGCTCCCCCGGGGGAATCCCAAAGCACTCCCAGGCCACCCGAGAAACATAGTCCCTCCATCGTGTCCTGGGTCTCTCCCTGGGCCTCCTCCCGGTGGGACATGCCCAGGACACTTTGCATGGCAGGCATCCAGAAGGCATCCTAATCAGAGGCCCGAGCCACCTCAACTGGCTCCTCTTGACAGGGAGGAGCAGCGGCTCTACTCTGAGTCCTCCCCGGGTGACAGAGCTCCTCACCCTATCTCTAAGGGAGAGCCCAGACACACTACGGAGAAGACTAACTTCTGCCGCTTGTATGGAGAAGGCACTCTACCCTTTTCCGGCTCAAGACCATGGACTTGGATTTGGAGGCACTGAACCTCTTCCCAGCCTTTTCCAACATATTTGGATAAATGAAATTAAAATCCCTTTGAAAAACACTGAAAAAAATAAAAATAAAATAAAATATATATATATGTTTAGTAAAAACACAACCCCTGATCTCTAAGATGAAACTTAAAATGGGGTGTAAATACAAGGAAATCCATCAAATCTCTCAGTTGAGATTGAGGAAACAAGTAAATTGTCATCTGACTGGTTACAAGCAGCATCTCAGTCGAGATATTTCCCCCAAAGCAGGTTAGATGGCCTATTATGGGTGTCGGATTAATTCACAAAGTTTTAACATTTTCCTCAGAGTATACAGCTTGGTTTAAGTGATGATATGTGAATATTTGTCATTGAAAACCTTTATAATTATGAAGCATCCTGCGGATGTAGGGTGCTCATAACTATTTGAAACTATTACCTCAGAGTATGACTGTGACCAATATGGTAACCAGGTGGTAAAAAACAAAGATCCTTCACGGTGCAGCAGCTATTCATTATACATCAGCTGCCTCTGAATATTGATGCAGATTCTATAGACCGACAGCAAGTAGAGAAAATTGAACTACCAGAATTCTTATTTTCACCTAAATAACACTATTCTGCAAAGCATTTAGTTTGGTTACTAAAAGGTGAGTATGGGTGTGGATCCCTGCCACATCACATAATGATTTCAGGTATCTACAGGTATTCCTGTGTAATCAGCACTTATAGTTTTTATACATCTACACTATAACGTTGCTTGCCACCATGCAGAGATTAAATACTGTCATGCAGGCACAAATATGGCTTACACTTACATTTGGTTTTTGCAATAGACCTCTTAATAATAGATCATGTATGTGTTGCTGTTGAAAGACTGAGCAGATGTAGAGCAGAGGGCAGATCTCCTCCTGTGCTGATGAGGGCCTGAAGGTTTGCCTGTCTGTCTCTAAAGCCCATTAGGCTGAGCTGCTGCAGCTCCTCCTGGAAGTCCTCCTCATGATGAACCTGGTGTTCAGCAAAATAAAAACAGTCGTAAATTTGAAGTTCTTGTGACTAAACTCTAAAAGTAAATATTATGTTTACAGAAACAATTTGTACTTTAATTTGTTAAAGCATTCAGAATGTGTTATGGCTAAACATATATCTCTACTTTAACGTGTTTTCAAATTTTACATTTTCATATTCTATCACACTGTATACAGTACCACAGGATAAAAAAAATGGTGGATTTTAATTTGACTATTAATTTTCTTGAAGTTTTTTAATATCTGAATTGTTGAACATTCTAATATGTAGCTGCAGCACATTTCTTCCACAAAGGATGAGCATTTATAGTCTTTAACTTTATCGGTTTTCTTTTTCAATTGATATTAATGGATTTTACAAACTTTAAATGTTTTCTAAATCTACTTACAAACATTGAACTTTAAACTTTAAGAACAGATCAATATTTTAAAGAGATCAGCTATAGGGAATTAGTGAGTTACCCCATTGTTGGCGTTAGCCAGAGCCTTTAGCATTTGATCCACAAACTGCTGCTGCTGCTGTTGTTTTGTTAGGAGGGCTTCCTGTGGGCATCCAGACTGGCTGTTCGGGTCCGGATCAGAACCGCCACTGGTTCCAAGTCCTGCACTGTCAGACAGATAGGTTGGTAAAAAATGTCTGCAGGTTTCAGTAAGTTTAATATCAGACTTCAAGTTTATTTAAGACACTTCATCAATGAAATGTATGAGCTACAGAAATTAAGATAAATCAATTCATTTAATTCCTTTTATATATATTATAGTATATGTGACCTAATAAGCAAGCACTATGGTTACAGAGGTGACAGTTAAGGTGAATTTTACCTTTACTTCTATCATACTTTAAAATGTCCTTAAAGTATAAAAAGAGCTTCACAATAGTTATGATTGTTATTCACTATTTTCTATTTTTTTTTTCTCAAGGCCATATTTCTTTTAACATGAACTTTCTAAGAGCTGAGACTAGAATGCGTCCCACAACCATGTTTATTCCCTAATCAAACAATTAACAATTTTATTACATTAAAAAAGTTAATGGACAAGGCAAAAAACTTACAAATAATAAATGGAAACAATTTCCATTTAAGAGACAATTTGGAGAAACTATAGATTTACAAGTTTTTAAGACCAAGTAGAAATCCTTTAATAAGAGTCTTTTCACTTAGTAAACTGAAGCTATATTTTGTACTTACACAGGCACAAGGAAGGGAGCCTCTACAGCCAGAGTCTGCAGACCATGTTGGATTTGTAGCAAGGCCTCCATAGCTTGGGGGTTCAGCACCATGGACAGCAGCTCTGACCTCTGCATCTACAATTCCCAAAAAAGATCATAGATAGCCATATCTTGTATAAATAAAGGTCTGAGCATCTATTCTAGTGATAAATGAAAATAAATTAATATCAAATTTAAGGAAACGTTTTAACACCTGTCAAAATAATTCAGAATCTAAGATCACAGAAAAACGTGGGAGGGAAAAAAAGAAACCTGTTGCAGAAACAGAGGGATCTGCTGCCTGATCTGCTCTTGCAGCTGAACATTTCCTGAGAACAAAGGATGGCTCAGCAGCATCTGAAACGACAGTAGAATAGTAAAATGTAGGGATTTAGTGACATCTAATGGTGAATCTATAAACTGCAACTGGCAGCAGGAGAAAATGGGATCACCTGTGTAAAATATAACAAAAAACTGTAACAATCGGAACCTGTTCACTAGTTATTCAGATAAAAAATTTACCTGTAAACGTAAACATTGCTCCTTAACTGATATATTTAATGCTTTTAACTTCCATAACAATGCATATTTTTGCACCATGTTTTTTTTTTCTCCCACACTGTTTACATTGATCACTGCTGCACTTTAAGAAATTAAAATCTCATGAAAGCTGTACAAAATGAAATTTCATTTTGTGTACAGTCTGTGTATACAAAATGACAATAAAAGCTGTCTAAGTCAAAGAATATATCCAGACCTTATCTCAGAGGGTTTACTTGCAATCTGAGGCTGCATCACCTGTGCAGTGACGTCAGGGTTCTGGCTCAGGCAATCCAATAGACTGCTGATGTACGGTCCAGACAGCAGAGTCTCCATCAGACCTGGGCTGGACGTGACCTCCTTCAGAAGCGACTGAATACCTGAAGGAGAAGGAAGGTTTGAAGTGGGATTAAAAACTACATTAATGTGCTTCTAATGAATCATACAAACTTGCTTATATTAAGTGCATGATTTTTATGCATATGTTTTTTTTACCTGCAGTAAAAGTACCCTGAATGTTTGAGCTGGGCGTATCAGTCATTTCTTTAAGGGGGTCTCTGGAGTCACTGGAGAGAGGTGATGCAGAACTGGTGTTTCCCTCTGGTCCCTGAGGACTTCCGAATGATGTAATTACCAGTGGAAATGTTGCTTTCTAAAAGAGGCACAAGAAGCAGACCTCTCAAAGGATAGATAAACTGTCTAAACATCATTACCTATTTGGTTTTTACCTGGGATATCTGCCAATTTGCATCTACTGTTTGAAGGACATCCGGATCAGCAGTGTTTTCATCGTTGCCCTGCACCACATTTTCTAAAGCTCTGCCTGCAGTTTCCTCCACAACGTCTTCCCCCGGACACTAACAAAAAAAAGTTTAAATGTGGAAAATAACAATCACTCACACAAATTCAAAACAAAAGCACTCACCCACCTGCATTATAACACCTGTGTTGTTCAACATGTCCTCCACCTCAGGGTGTGTTTTCAGGACCTGCTGAAACTGTGGATTACACAGATTGACCTGGTTTGTCAATTCAGGGCTGGAGGAGCAGTGGGGGTTCTGCACCATCTCTGGTTCACTCAGTGACTGTTCCTCCATTTGGCTCTGGGGTGCAGTACAGAAACTCGATCTACTGTTTTCCAAACCAGCACTGCCCAGACCCTCTACCAGAAATTGAGAAAAAAGGAAAGAAAAGGCTTTAAAATAGACTTAAAACTCTAGAGAGTAGGAAAGGAGCTAATTAATGTTTTTACCCAGGAAACCCAGAGCACAGGGAGTTGGTGTTTGGATGGGATCAGGGTCAGGAACAGCTGTCACCTCTGACTGGACAGATTCTGAAGGTGGATCCCCAGTCTGAGGGGGTGAAGACTCAGGCCTGACAGAGAACAACTTAGCTTAAAACCTGTGTTTAAAACATGCTGCATCATGCATTGCATTGAGTACAGAGTTTTTATATTTTTCTCTGAATCAGACAAAGAAATAGCTCATCCATTTTCATAATCGGAGTGACATGTTTTAGGATCCTTTCCTGATTAATTCCTGGAATCATTAATTCAGTGATGTCCCTGCTTGATTCAAAATGCATCTATTTTGTATGAGTTTGGATATGTTCCAGATTTCTAAATATTTAAATAGACAACACCAAGTAAGGTTTCGTATGGAAAAACGTAAATGTCCCAATTGTTTGAAAACCATCATTTGTATCACTTTATCTACACAGTAAATATCTCTGGTGTCAAAAATCAGTGTAAGAGTCTGTGAACTCTATCAGAGGGTGGAAAATGTGTCCTATGGGCCCCAGTATTTGTTGAAAATATTCAGGGTTTATAAAGATTTTTTTTAGAAATGGAAAGCAGGCTTTATGGGAGAGACTCTCATGGCTGGAAAAAGATTGCAGGAAACATAAGAAGAACTTTTTTCCGTAAATCATTCTCCAATAACTTAAAATGACGGTTCCTGTAAAATCAATTTTCAGTATGGAGTTTTAAGATCTGTTTTGTATATTAATATACTGCACTGTATAGTACTGATTGTTTTAGCTTATTTTAAAATGCTAATATGTTGCTGAATAGTATTGATATTTATTTAATTTTGTTGTTCCTTATTTCTACAGATGAAAGATTTGCCTTCTCATGGCTAATTCCTCTATGTCCAAGAATATGCAATACATATGTATGCATGCCTTTGGATAATTTAATGCTATCTGATTTTTTTTGTCATTTATTTGCTTAAGTATACAGAGATCCAAGTCATAAGGAATAAGATGTTATGCTCTGTCAATATCTACCAATAGCCATACTTCCACTTGCCCCTGTTATATTCAGGAAAATGAAAGGGTTTTATTGCTAAATTTAATTTGTTATTAAAATAACAAAAAACATCTGAATGACTGTGAGATTTTTAATGGCATAAATGTAACAATTAGTATGATGGTTTGATGCTTTGTCTCATTTTGCATTTTATTGTGACTCTCCTGGTCCTCCATAGGAAACATCCTAACCTTTGACCCGTTTTTATCTATACATTTGCAATCCAATAACTTTAATTACTATTCATATGTTAATCATCACCATGGAGTGCCCACTCTGTGGTCTGTACCGTCTGATCGTGCAGAGGCTGACAGATCCTCTCTGTCCTTTTAAGTGACTCATCAGTTCTGACTCCCTAAGGACCCATCCAGAGTGGGTCAGCACCAGCTGCTCTGCTGGGACCCGCAGCTGCTCAGACAGACACAGCTTCAGCTATTCACACACAGAAAAACACACACACCTCAGCAGCTATATGGCATCTCAGTAAAACACTGTCAGAGAATAGATGTGAGGAAACCCACTCAGCCTACTGACCTGTTTGACGGTGCAGTCTCCTCTGAAGGTGAACACTCTGCTCTCTGGGACTCTTCTTAAAACAACCTGGGTTGTTTCAGACCTGTGAGGCTCATCAGTGCTTTCCCGTTTGTCTTTCCTTGTTGTTGACATCTTTGTAGGTGAGGGTAGAAGGATGTGGACCTGGAGCAGCTGTAGTGGAGGAGTGAGTGTGCTTGTATCTGGATGACTCTGCATAAAGTTGAGGACATGTGAGGCTGTAGGAGCTGCGCAGTCAGGGTACAGCCCATCCACATCCTTTCTCACGAATCCTAGCAGCCCATATTAAAGAGGTGTTAGCGGTTTTATTTCTCCAACTCTTATTGCAAAAAAATTGTGATGAAAAATCTCTTAAAAAATTAACCAGATGATTATTTGAATACATCCCAGTACTCTTATTATTTTTGTAAAAACAGAGAATATAATTTTGTTTACCTCAGATGTCACTCAAGAAAACTCTATTTTTTGTGTGTTTTCTTTAAGTCTACATTGATAGAAAACATTTCTGGGGTTTTCTGTGAAAGCTCGAATGCCACATTGTCAGACAGGACACTGTAAAAAAAAAAAGAATAAAATAAAAAAAAAAGAATGAGAAAACTATCAATATCTTAGATTTCATCATTCTGAACTTCCTTTCATGAATGCACAATTTCATTTTGTGTTTAATTTGGGGAAATAATATAATTTCTATTGGTCTATATTGTTAAAAGCATTTGTGCTTGTGGTTGGAGCCTGAGAAAATGTTAAAAGTTGAAGGGATATAAATATTTTGCCAGGAATAATTCCAGTAATCCCATGGGAAATTTTGAGCTAAAGATATTTCTTTGTTTTATTTTTCTGATATTGTCAACTGATATGGCTATAAGTTTTATTTTTATATAACCAATACATTGTTAAAAAGGAAAGCAGCATTTTTGTTTATCATAATATTTAGTTATCTTTTGTCTTACAAAACTAACTTGATACCTATTTGTAAATGGTTTGTAAAGTTTTTGTAACCAGCTCTTAAATAATTTAATCATACATTTAACTGTCATATGATTTATTAGCAAACAAATTATGTTAAAACAAATATGTTAGGGCAAGATTTTTTGGAAACCATATATTTTGATTTCACATAAATCCCAATTTATGAGAATATTTTTCCTCAGAAAGACATTGTTCCGTGTGAGCTTTCATTTTGGGTTCTCAGTTATCGTTTGTTTTATTTTCTGTATTTTCAAGCTTTATATAAATTTTGAATTCTTAGTTTTAGTCTCTCTTGTTACATCTTTTCAGCATTTTTGCTATTATTTATTCCTTTGTCTAGTTTTAGTTAGTAATTCTTTCTCTTGTCCTTAGGTTGTTTTCTATGGCTTCAGTTATCTCCAGTCCCTTTTCTTATCCTCTAGTTTTCCCATTGATTATTCCTTATTTTGTAGTTATTAGTTTTATTCCCCTTTAGATGTATTTAAGTTATTTTCTTGTTACAGTTAAGCCATGGTTTCCCTGGTTACTCTTTGTTGCCCCCCAGTGCCCTTTTCCTTTCTTTCCTTGCACTTTAGCTCCTTTCTGAAGGCTTCTGTCGACACACACTCCCAATTAACTGATTACTCAAATTCCTTGTTCTGTCTCCCATTTATACTCCTTCTCTGCAGTCCCTCAGTGCTAGATTCTCCTCATTTATTCTTATATGTTTCTCCTGAGCCTCTCTAATTTTTGATTTCTGAAATCCCAGCCTGTGATTTCTGGATTGATGTATATTTGTACCATCTATGTCACCATTAAAACTGCAAAAACTAAAAATAAAAAAAAAATTAGATAAAGAAAGCTGGAATTAGTAAGAAAGCCTGGACATTTCTGACCAATCAATGACCTCTAAGTCTAACAGGATCTTCTGCATATAAAGTAAAACTATATCAGTATTTTATTCCTTGAATGCCTAAACCCCCATTAAATGAGTGTGTAATAGATTTGATAAGATACAAGTCTTAACCTTATTTTGATCTTTAATTGCTACTATCCATTTTCTCTCCATCTTTACTGTCGTAAAATAAAAGAAAGACCCTTAGGTTTCCCAGATCCAGGCAGAGTTCCACACACGGACTTAACTGTTTTAGCAGAGGCTCTAAATATTAGCCTGATTCCAATCTTAGTAAAGCCATGCAATAATTTAACTGAACAAAAACCTCTAAAAAAACAAAACTCCTGAGTCATTTTAGCTGCTCATCTCAGCAGGGTCAGGAGCCATCTTTCTTTGTGGCATGTGGACCGAATGCAATCATACTATGTTGGACACGTTTCACAGTAGACAGAAGCCTGCTTAGTAACTGAGGATATGGAAGTTGGACCCAGAACAGTGAAGCCAGTTTTCACATCCAGAGGGAAAAGAAATGCAGCCACCAGCATGCATGATTGGTTCACCTGTATTTAATGTTCATACTGCTTGAAATCTTTGAACTTCTTAATTTAACTCCCCTATTTGACTATTGGAGCTGATTAATGCTCACATTTCATCACCCCATCTTCACCCTTCAATGAATGGATATAAACGTTTCTCCTACCATGAAACATAGTCCAGTAACAACAATTCAATCACTGAAAAAGTATTTTATTTACTTCACAGTGTGCAAGGAAAAGAAACAACCATACATTTCAATCTGTCAATTTGGCATTAGAACCCTTGGAGAGAGAAAGAGGCACACAGCTTTAGGAGTGTTGGAGATACTGCTGCTCTGTGGAGCAGTTTCTGAACAGACTTTAAACTCCTTTCATTTAAAAAGCTGTAAATAAATACAACCAATAGCTTGGTTGTTCAATAGAGCATGCCATGTCTGGATGATATTCTATGTATTTAATAGGACATGCATGTTTACATACTGTCTAACTAAAAATAATTAGAACCCAAATTAGAGGAAATAAAAACATGAAATAAAGAGAACTTAATGATTAGTGGTGTTTTATAACTAGTCAAATATTTTTGTTCATTCTTTTCCCCCTCCAGACAGTTGTTCTTCCCTCAGGAATCTTCATTGGTCCACCTCTGAGCCTTTCTTCCCTTTCCTGTTGCCCTGCAAAACAAAATAACATGACTTTAGAATGAAAGAAGACGTCATTTCACATATGATATGATAGAATATGATTATTTGTGCACTCACTTGATGTTTTGGTTGCTCTGACTGGAGCCCTTTCACTTTCGATCGTTCTTGTTCAAGAGCAGCATGTAATAATGTTACCTGAGTAGAAGCGTACGATTATTTACATCCCCAGAAAAGTACAGCTGTTCAACAGAGCAACATTTATCTGCAGAGCAAACCTGTGATGACAGTTCTTCTTTGATGTGAAGCAGTTCTTCTACCTGCAGAAGAATTTCTGCTTTGTCTTTCACTGCAAAAACCACAAGGAGCAGATAATAAAACAGGAGACAGGAGAAGGAAGAAGAGAAATATGCATCTGGCTGCGCTGATAAACTCACTCTCCCCTTGTTGGAGCATCTTAAGGAGCTGGGCATTTCTTGCTTTCACCTCTTTGTATTTCACCTGCAATGTTAAGAAGGAAATACTTGGTTTGTGATGACTTTAAACTTTAGAGGCAAAACAACATAATTGTGCATAAGGTGTCTCAGATATTTAAACACTTTCAATCCGATTGGAAACTAACCCCTATATTGTTTCAAATTAAATCCACATTCAACACAAAAATAAAAACGCATAAAAACATTATAGATTAAGAAACAATTTCATGTAACAGTATGTCTTAAGCAAAAAAAATAAAAAATAAAAAATAGCTCAGCGTTAGCTGTTTCTCCATCTAACCTCCCACTCCGAGATGGTCTTTTTTAGCTTCTTAATCTCCTGGTCCTTCTTCTCCAGCTCATATTTCAATTGTTCTGCCCGAGGATCCTAGAAAAAAAGAAAGAAAAAGAAGATAAACATTCACTCGTGTAATACTGAATAGGTGGAACATAAATATGCATGGTTTATTTCAAGGACACCATAATATCAGAGAAAGCATTTGTTTTGTTCCATTCTCTGCACTCACAGGTTCATGCTCTGTGGATGTGTTGACTTCTTGTCCCGGGCTGTTCACATACTGTTCAAGTCGCTTCTCCCTCTGGATAATCCGACTCACATCATCTTCCACTTTGTTAAAAAAGCGTTCCTCCTGTCCGACTCCTGGAGCCAAATTTGTCCCTCTGGTTTCCTGGGTAACAAATCAAGTGATAATTCTGCTTTATAATAAAAGTTTAGATACAGATAAGGGTCACCTGGGAGGTACTGGGTGATGACCCAGGACCTAAACATTGAATGTAATCAATATATATCATAAACCAACGTTTAACATAATGGTCCAAATAAAGAAATAGAAGCTTCTGTTTGTTTATTTGTGCTGAGAAGGAAGTTGTGATGGACGTGAAACGCTGCACTGCATCGAGATTCCCCTAATGGTTTTAAGAAAACCCAAACTAAAGGGATTGGTTATAAATAAATATAACCAACAGATAGTCACAGAAAGAGTAAAAATAAAAAAAATCATGGTCAATGCAGGAGGAAATAGTTTATTATGGTGTATAACTAAAATAAACAGTAATCTCACAAAGAGACCCTATCTTGTTTTTGATGAACGGGCCTAATTTTACCCTCATACATACTCTGTATTGCTTTTATTTCACATTGTATTACCTTATTTTATACTTTTATTGTTTAAACTTTTTTAACATATTTAAAAAATACTTTACTGTGTATTAAGTTCAAATATGTCTGCAGTGTTCAGGCTTTAAATACAAAACCTGCAAAAATAAAACAGGTTTTAAGAAAATGACAGGATGGATCCTTTAGAGTAGAGGTCACGGATTAGCGGACCAGGGTCCGGATCCAGACCCAACCTGATTTAAAACATTTAGAAATTACTGCATGTTGTCCAACAACAGTGTCTAAACGTCATTTGCGTCGCTTCTCTTGTTTGTATGGTAAAGCCCTTCGGAGCGTCCGGCACCAGGGTGCACCTGATACAAATTAGCTGTGTCAGTCTGGGCTGCTGCTGCTAGCCACTTTTAGACACAGCAGGCAAACCTGTGGCAAGCCGGGCAATCGGAAAGAAGGACAAGACAATGAGAAAAAGAGCAGAGAAAGTGTGAACTGCTGGAAGAACAGCAGCGATCTGGTAAAAGAAAAGTGAAATGGCGAGCTCAAAGATGACCCTGCATATTTTGAGTATGTTTGGCTCAACCTGCAGCTGTGGAGCAGGATTCTCCATCATGAACATAATCAAAAACAAATATCTATCCAGGCTCAAAATGAGCACCTTGATATGTGCTTGAGAATGACTTTGACGCCTTTCAAACCCAGGTTTAAAAGCGATGCAGGGCAGCATAAAGCCCACTGTTCTCATTAAGCCATAAAAAAGAAAGAAAAAAAAACTGAGTCAGGAAATTGTTTATATACCAAACTGAAGATTTTTGTTCTCTACTTCAAAAACAATTTAGATTTTAAAATGAACAAAAGTTCTTTTTTTTAATATTTTTTATTTAAAAAGTCAACGTATAGCATGGATGCATAAACACCTGCTTTTTATTTCAATGTTAAAAGCTGTTTAAATCAACGGATTATAATTAAAAATGTCTCCGGATCTTCACTGGTTTAATTTTTTACCCCTGCTTTAGAGGATGGCTCAGGGATTTAAGTGGGTATCTGGGGAAAAAACTAAATCTTTTAGGATGCTGTATGACCTAATAATCAGAGCTTCTTATTAAAAGATGTGATTGAAATTGAACTAGTGGGTCAGACATTGTTAGTGATAATAGACAGATAAATAGATAAATACAAAGATAAATCCAGAAACAACAGATCCTTTGCTTACCTCTTGTTTTCTACTTAAATGCTCTGCAACAAAAGAACAAAACATAGAATTAAATAAATGAAAAAAAAATCTAAAAGCTTTGAAAAAAAACTAATCTCTTGAGTTAATATATTTTTGTTGCACAAAAAAGATAGTTGCATGTTTGACAGCAAAGCAGTTCAACACAGGACCCGTCTCTCCTACCTGTGGTGCCTTCAGCCTGGAAGTCCTGCAGAGAAACTGTCTTTTTATCTTTTGCCTGCTGGTTTTTCTTCTTGTCCTTCTTCCCACCGCCCTCTTTTCCTCCTCTGGACTTTGGCGAAGCAGAGTTTGTGTTGCTCTGTGGGGAAAGAAAAGTACTAGTACCTCAGGGATTTATATCAGTAATTTGTGTTTAATACTGATCACAACAACAAAGTTTACTCAGCTGAATATAAATGACCAGTTTTTACATAGCAAGGTTTTTGTTTTTTTAATAAACCACCATGTTTTATACTGTAGACGCATAAAGCTCTCCTGCAGGTGGGAGTTGAACACGCCCCTGACTGACGGTGCAACCAGACGTTCCCTCACTACTAGATTGGGTCTGCTGAGTTCCTCCTCTTCCAGCTCATCCAGCTCCACCAGGTGGTGATAGGTGGACAGCTCTGCCTCTCTCTTCACCCGAGTGTCCAAGACAAGCATTTGGTGCTCAGATGATACAACGTAGATCATCAACCTCCAGCCTATGGTGTCCCAGTGCCAAGTGCAGCGATTGACACCCTTGTGGCTGAACATGGCGTTCATTATAGACAATCCGTTACTTGCACAGAAGCCACCTCTCGGGTTCAGAGCTGGGGGTTCGTTCCAGCCGATTGAGCTCACAGAGGTGCCACTGTTTTTTCTTGCATGGGCATTGAATTCCTGCAGCACAATGATGGAACCCCTGTGAGGGACTTCAGCCAACAACCCCCAAGGATGCAAAGAAGACCTGGTTCTCTGTATCAACGATCGGCCAATGGGCCGAATTAACAGTGAGAGACCACCCCCCCCTTCATGTGAAGGTAAAGAGATACAACCCTTTCCAACACAGACAGCTGAGTTGGTGGGAGACAGGCAGGCCAACTGCAGCCCTCCACCTGTACCTGCAGACCCCTCCAGAGTAGAGGAGACACCCCCCCCCCCACCCCCCCCCCCACCCCCGCAAGGTGACATTCCACATCCTCAGAGACCGTTTTAATGTCCATGGATCAGGTCACCGATTGCTACCCAGTCCTCTCTGCACCAGTCCTTCGTGGCTCTATTCTGGCCAAACACCATTGTCTACTTCTTTTCTTCTTCCTTGTGTCAACAAGCTCTCCCACCTGAGCAGTGGGTAAATGTAGATGCTCCAGTTATAATTGGACTCTTGGCTGTTCCTCTGATGAATGCTCCTCTCCTTATGTGAAAGTCCATATCTTTAAAGGCCAACTGTTGTGCCGTTCTGATTTCACTTTCAGACAATGGCCTAATACAGAGCCCTCTGAGATGTTTACTGTTTGGGAATGTGTTTTACAACCCAGTAATAACATGACATGTGTTGACTAATGTAGCATACCTCTGTGGCCTTCACGGGACAGATAACTTCCATAGACAGGTTTTTTGTGCTGGATTTTCCTTCAAGGTTTTTCTTTTTGAATAAATATCGATAACTATGAGAACTTTTCCTTCTACTCTACATTTTTGTGTGACTCAGTGTCACGTGTCCCCACTTACGAAGTTTGTAGTTTTGATACAAAAGTGTGCAGCACTTCCAGGAAAAAGCATAATAATTAAAAGGGATGACAACATTTTAATGCAGGTGGGATTTAGGCAAACAGAGAGATTTCCTCTGGATAATCTACTGCCTTCATATCAACATTTCACTACTAAGTCTTCAATACAACAACAACACACATGCATCATTATATTAGCTTTCAAATAGCAGTTATACATGTCTCTAAATCTTTAATCTGGAAAATCTACACCTCTGTTTTTGCCATAAAGCCTTATTAGTGTGTGTGTGTACTGAATGAACCTGTTTCTGTTGTTCATATTCCAGTTTACTTAGAATCAAGGCCTTTTCCAAATCTGCCTCATACAGCTCTGTGGTGATCTATAAAGAAAAGAAAAAGGGAGTTAGGTAAATAGTATTTTTTTGTAAAAGAATCTTAGCTCTTTGTGATGCAAATATCCAGGACAAGTAGCCTTTATTCCCAATTGTTTTAATTTTGTTAAAACAATTAAAAGGCATTCCATTTTTCACTGCTGAAGATAATCGGCAAATGACCTCGGAAAAAGTTTTAGAACATTTTCACTAACCTGTTCGTCTCTCTGTTTCCACTGTTGCCACCCCTCTGAAGGTATACTGTGGTCCCCTAAAGCCGGGTTAAGGAGCTCACTTGCTATTCCTGACAGCGTCATGGAGGGCGGAGGGGCAGAGGACTTCTGAGGAATCTTCTTAAAGGCCAGATTGCGCAGCTAAAAGAGGGAAGAAAAATATCCAAACATTTCATGAGTTGAAAGCAAAATGTTGCGAATAATGGAAATAGAACAAGCAAGGTACATTAAGAGGAATTGAGCACAATAAAACAAAAAAAGGGGATGGAAACATTAGAATGACCCTGACCATGGGCACCTGAATATCTTATATGATGTGTGTATAAATGTGCATTTCAGATTTACTGTCAAAGTTTAAAGCAGCTTATGAACCTTAGGAACATGATCATCGTTTGTTTCACTTATTAACTGCAAAGAAATCTTTAAAAAATTGGATTAGTTTGTCATCTCTTCTTTCCCCAACACTTGACTTTATCTAGAAATGCAACTATGGAAATAGCAGAACTCCTGCTTTTACTGTTGGCACTGAGAAAAAATAAATACAGACACCCTGTGATTTCCAGAAGTCCAACATATTTGGACATGTATATGTTTGGTGTCTGTTTTATTAATACTTAAAAATTAAAATAATGTATTTAAAAACAAATCTAGGATAAATCCATCTCAAGTGTGAAAAAATAAAATTCTTGTTAGTTTAGGAAATTGAAGAGGTCACAACCAGACATTCCACTGTACATAGAACCAAGGTACATTAAGTACAATATCCAAAATACAACTACCTGGCTCAGGTCTGGCTGTCTGAGGAATTGTGCACTAAAGGTGAAAAACAAAATGTTAAAGGAAGCTTCTTAAATCCCTAGAATGTAATTGTGAGGCCTAAAGCAGACTCTAGCCACAATGAAAGTGGATATGGAAGCAAATGCATGTAGAATCAAGATGGAAACTCTGGATCCAACAACCAAAAGAAATATCTAGAATAATGTTTTTAGGACAAGAAAAAAGTTCAAATTGAATTATTTGGACACCAAAAGACAAGAAAATGATATATTTTTTTTTTTTGTTTGTTTGAAAATACAGCATTTCATGAAATGGAACCGCATTCCAACTGTGAACTACAGAGGTTGTAATGGTTTTTGGGATATATTCCTCATGACAGAATCCAGCAATTTTTCAGTGTGTTAAAGGAGGATTGAGGAAAATCTGATGCAGGACCGGGCTCTATAACAGAGCAATGACCAAAACATACCAGCAAATCACTTGAGGACTCGCTGTGGATTAAAATTAAATGTGGATCTTATTGGAAGCTGTGCAGTGACTGGATGCTGAAAAAAGATGATGACAAAATGCATCTCATTCAGGTTAATTCAGCCAATAGTGCAAAGAACGGCTTAGGGTGTGACACCTTGTTCTGTTAGAATTAGTTTGATCCAGTGAGGCTGTTCGCTATCAGAGTTTATCTGCAAATAAATCACATCCTTCTAAAAATAAAAACATTTAAGATTAAGGAGAGAACTTTCCTTTAGAAACAACTAAATATTTAATTGAGTGTCCTTATTTTATTCCCTGTGGTTGTATGTTCTCTATCAGTAGTGATATTGTGATTTGAATATGTGATAAACATAAATAAAAAAAAAACAATTATCAGCATTTGCTGTGACAATGACGCACTTTTATCTTTAAGTGAGGCAGAATCGTTTCACTTATGGTAAAATGAAACAAGGACCAGGGTTGGAACCAGGCAGCTGCTCAGAACAGATCAAGAAGCAGGAGGATGAGCTGCAGATGTTTCTCCTCCTTATCTCACCTCATTTGCCTCACTCTGCTGCTGCTCCTTCTTCTTCTTCTTCTTGTCTTTCTTCTTGTCGCTGCCCTGGGCTCCTTTCCCCCCTGATCCTGTGCTCGCCCCTGCTTTCCTCTGCCTGGGCTTCCCGGAGGAAGAGTCCCTGCCGGCTTTGGTGTTGGGCTTCCCTGTCTCCGAGGTGTCGGAGTCCGAATCCGAGTCAATCTGGAGCAGGGCGAACCGAGAGGCGGTGGTGGGGACAGTGATCATTGCAGACGATGTCATCTCTTAACGGGAAACTAAAAAAAAATCACAATAATTGGTTCATTAAAATAACTCTAAACGTATAATGTTTATATTTCTGGTAAGCTGACAGGCAGCCCTTATAACCTATAGTTTTATTTGCAACTGAAGCAAATACCGTGTTGAAAATTACAGTTATTTTCTTCAACTCTGCCTTAGCGGACAACAATCTGCTGGTGGAAAGCAGCAGCGACACAGCCGAGCTAGCAGGTTTTTGTTAGCGCACTAACAAGTGTAAAAACTCGGTAAAAACCTTTCCACACTTGGGCTAGCCCTTTGTTGGTGTTTCACTCACATAGCTGTGTTGTAGAAACAACGGAGATAAGAGAAGTTGGTTTAAAGTAGTTCTGTTTGATTCTTCAGGGGAACTGAGCTGCAGTTGGTTGTGTTACCAGCGATTGTCTCACTCGGTACGGAAGCCCGGTTAGGACAAACAGGGCGAATCTACATTAACTGCTGGCTCTTCTGGTTACATGTTTACGCAAGATGATAAGGGCCACTGAAAAGAAGAAGAAGAAGAAGAAATAGGAGTTAAAAATACATCTCCAGGTAAAGATGGCATATGTTATAGGATGATTGAACATTTATCAGATGATGCTAAAGGAATAATTTTAAAGTTATACAATAAAGTATGGAAACAAGGTGAATTGCCCTTAAGCTGGAAGCATTCAATCATTGTACCAATATTAAAGCCAGGTAAGGATAAAGGAGAGGTTAAAAGTTATAGGCCTATAGCTCTTACTTCTAATTTATGTAAATTGATGGAGAGAATGATAACTAGGAGATTAATGTATGAAATAGAAAAAAGAGATCTTTTATCCCCTTATCAGAGTGGTTTTAGAAGTGGACGGACAACAGTAGATCCAATTGCTTGTTTAGAAAATGAAATAAGAAAGGCTCAGGTAAATAAAGAAATTCTCTTGGCTACATTTTTTGATATTGAAAAAGCATATGATATGCTTTGGAAGGAGGGTTTATTAATTAAGATGAATAAAATGGGAATCAAAGGAAAAATGTTTAATTGGATTAAGGATTTTTTAAAGAATAGAAAAATAGAAGTAAGAGTTGGGGTAAATTATTCAAACATTTATGATATACAAAATGGAACTCCACAAGGTAGTGTATGTAGTCCAGTGCTTTTTAATATAATGATTAATGATATTTTTGATAATATAGATTTTAGAATTAATAAAGCATTATATGCAGATGATGGGGCATTATGGGTGAGAGGAGGAAATCTTAGTTATTTAAAAAATAGAATGCAATCAGCAATTAAAACGGTAGAAAGATGGTCACACGAATGGAGGTTTCGTTTGTCTGTTGAGAAGACACAAGTATTATGTTTTTCAAGGAAAAGGGATAATCCAACAGTAGATCTTAGATTATATGGGCATGAATTGAAACAGGTAAATATGATAAGGTACCTTGGTGTATGGTTTGATGAAAAACTTTCATTTAAGATACATATGCAGAAGATTATTGATAAATGTAAAAAAGGTATTAATATATTGAAATGTTTGTCAGGGAATGACTGGGGGGCAACTAGCTCATCCTTGAAAAGAATATATGATGTTTTAATTCGATCTGTGTTGGACTATGGATGTATTGTTTATAAATCAGCTGCAAATTCTTTGTTGTTAGATTTAGATAGAATCCAAGCCAAAGCGCTTAGGATATGTAGTGGTGCTTTTCGAACATCTCCAGTTCCTGCTCTTCAAGTGATTACTGGAGAAATGCCACTGGACTTAAGGAGGATGAAACTGTCAATAAATTACTGGTTAAATTTACAAGGGCATGAGGAAAATCACCCTACTAAACAGATATTCAGAGAATGTTGGGAATATGGCCATAATATAAGGAGTTTTGGATGGGAAGGAAATATTTATGCAGAGTATTCTGGGATAAGTAATATAACATACTGTAAAACTGTAAGTACATCTAAAATTGCTCCATGGTTTTTCGAAATGCCAATAGTAAATTTAGAAACTAAAAAAATAGAAGAGTCTTGTGGAGGTTTGTATCAAATTATTCAGCAGCATTTAGAAGTAAGGTATGAAAATATGACACAAATATATTATACAGATGCATCAAAAGAGGAAAATGGTAAAACAGGAGTAGCAGTATATATTCCAAAAGAAAATATTTCTATCAAGAGAAGAACAACAGATAATTTATCAATTTTTTCAGCAGAGATGTTGGCAATTATTTTAGCATTGCAATGGGTGCTGGAGGTGAAGCCTAGAAATGTAGTTATCTGTTCAGATTCAATGTCTTGCCTGACTAGTTTTAAAAGTGGAAAATCTGAAAGCCGTCAAGATCTTTTAGATGAAGTCAGTTATTTAATGTATGGTATAAGGCAACAAAATATAAGTATTCAATTCACATGGGTTCCAGCACACAAAGGAATCTTAGGTAATGAAAAAGTAGATAAGTTAGCTAAAGAAGCAGTTAAAGTAGGAGAAATTGAATATGATGTCCCGCTAAGTAGAACAGAAATAAAAGTAATTATTAAAGATAAAATAAATAAGGTATGGCAGAAGAGATGGAATTTAGAAAAAAAGGAAGACATTTATATAAAATACATAAAGATATTAGCATAGGATATAACAGTATAATGAGTAGAAGAGAGGAAATATGGATAAACAGGTTAAGGATTGGGCATACTAGTTTAAATGCAGGTCTAAAAATAATAGGGAAACATCCAACGGGTAATTGTTGTTATTGCGGAGAAATCGAAGGAGTAGAACATGTGTTGATCTATTGTAGCAAATATACAAAAGAGAGGAAAGAACTGGAAAGGGTAATGGGGAGTTCAGTAAAGATGGCAGATTTATTAGGGAAGCATCAATCAGATAAGATAATTAAAGCACTTATTAAATATTTAAAAGATACAGAATTAGCTGGGAGAATTTAGTGTGTGTATGTGCGTGTGTGTAAGTATAGATAGAATTTAGTTTCATGAAGATATAAAGATATACAGACATTATATTTCTGAATTACATCTCCGTCCAGTTGATGGCGGTAATGCACACAGGATGCAAACTGCCAGAAAACTCAATAGAAGAAGAAGAAGAAGAAGAAGAAGAAGAAGAAGAAGAAGAAGAAAGTTAACTCATTTTAAAATTTTATTTCAGGATAATATGAGAAAAAAAGTCAGAATTCTAAAAAAAAAAAATCCTGACTTTTTTCTTTGAATTCTGACATTAAATCTCAGAATTCTGACTTGAATCTCAGAATTGTGGATCTTAATGAAGATGGGTTACATGAAGGAAGAGATGTGGGAGCACCCAGCTTCACTGACAAAGAGTTTCTGGGAGGGCCAGTGACACATTGGTGGGAAATGACCAAATTATGCAACGTTTTACATGCCGAGGGGTCCCTGGTGATGCTATTTCATTAATGGAGGAGCAGAATGTAATTAAAACAAGAGAGCTAGTCTCTAAAACAGACATGGCTACAGCTCGATGCTAACAGCCTAACAGAAAAAAGTCAGAATTCTGAGATTAAAGCCAGAATTCTCAGAAAAAAGTCAAAATTCTGAGAATAAAGTCAGAATTCTGAGAAAAAAAATCAGAATTCTGAGATTAAAGTCAGAATTCTGACTTTTTTCCCATATTAAACTGAAATAATATTTAAGAATCGATTAACTTTTTTATTTTTTCAGTAGCCCTAATCGTCTTCCGTACATTTTCTTTTTAGCCATTGACGATAGAAAAATCGACCCATTTTATTATTATTATGTACTATGTATGCTGGGAGGAATGAGATGAAGTCACACAAAAGATAAAACAGTTTGTTTCATACAGATTTTATTAACTTAATAATTAATGATTACCATCAATGTATACATTTATATTACACCTACAAAAAGAAAAGAGCTACCTATATAATAAAATGGAACCAAAAAAATTGTATGGATCTATGAGATTAGCAACTGTACAAAGACAGAACAATAAGATGATAGGTATAAATCTGAGAAGTGCAGACTTTTATATTGTTGATTTAATTTAATGCACTTAGAAATTTTGGACAAGAGCTTATAATTTTGCCTCCCAAATACAAGAGCAAATAAATAATTTGAAAAATATAACAACTTTAACTTTCATATGAACCCAACCAGTAAAACACCTTCTTATTATTTAACAAAGAAATTTGCAACAACTTACCAAAAACATATCTATTTATAGTGCTTTTTTGATCAATCGGCTAAATAAACAGAACCTTTTGATATTATCCTCTTCAAATCTGCAACAAACATTTTCTAAATGGAAAATAAAGCAGAATCACGTTTTTCTAGGCACTTCTATTGAGTCCTCCATCAAAGACTCACAGCTTGAATTAGCGACGGAGTGGCACCACTTAGTGGCAGAACTTCTGAGCTGCATGTGAGCAGAAGGAATCTCTCTTAAATCTCTGCGACACAATCTGACAGGCGTCAGCTCTAAACTCTTCTCAGACTGACCTCTAGAACTCCTTTCATGGGAATGACTGTGTTCAGAGGTTTTTCTCTTTGGGGATGCTTGGATGACTGAAGGTGATGATGTAAGTGCTTTTGCCTCTGCTTGCTCAGTTGAGATTTTTGTGTATGTGGATAAAATGTGTGTCATCTTTCCCTCCTCACCACAGTTTGCTTTAGGGTTTTCCACACTCAAAGGTGTAAGAATGTCCTGCCTCTGTGTGCTCTCTTGATTGTGTTGGTACTGATTGTCAGTGTAAGGAGAATCATTGAGAAATTCTTTAAGCTTCTTTTTCAGCTGACGACTGGAACTTTTGTAGAAAAACAGCTCTTTCTCCAGATGATGGATTCTGTCTTGTATTGATTGTGGTCCCCCTCTTGATGCCTCCTCTAGATAAACAGAAAGACATACACAGGAGAAAAAAAAAAAAAAAAAACAATAAAAAGTAGATGTCACATAAAGTATCAAGAGGCGGCTCATCACAATCTTCACCTTTAAGTTTCTGTAGTAGCAGCTGAATGTTGTTTTGGTGGTCTCTGTGTTGTTGGGTAAGCCTGCGGTCTGTGTCTAAGGCCAAACGCTGCATGGCTGCCTCCATCTCCTTCATCGCTGCCTCCTGCTCTCCGGCTTGAAGCTCCAACTCTTCGCACTGCAAACGTAAATGGCGCTCTGCCTCTCGAAGAGAGACTACCTGCAGTTAATAAAAAATATGAGGGAATAGTATGTATTTTCATTATATATACATTTAAAAGCTCAAAGAAACACAGTCATCTCACAGGAAGGGGCAGGAATTAACAGGATCTTCCCAAAAAGTTTTAACTTCACTTAAAATGACTAATCAAGAACATTTTCATTACAAGGCTTACATCATATTAAGATATATCTTACGTTTTTACATTTCTTACATTAATATGTTCTGTGATGGTGCCCTGGGTAAAGATTTACCCAGGGCACTTATTTGGATTCACCATTGTGAGGCAACAGCAAGCCTCTCAATCAACATTCAGCATGACCCCATATATATCTATATGAAATCTGGCTCCGCTGTGCGGCCTTGGGAGGCTATATATTCTAAACTCCTCTTGGATATTATGTAAACATGACACTCTGCTCCCTCTGCCTGCTCACTTCCCTGAGGACATCTGTGAATGTGCTCTCTGAGCACTGGGGTTGATGAACATTAAATTACATACTATCAAGGACATTGGGTTGCTTTTTTGTGCTGAGGTTTTTTTGACATCTTAGATTGTATTCTGCTAAATATAAAATGTTAAATATGATTTTTTCCCCCCTCCTCTTACCTATTGTGGTTCTTTTTCTTTTTACCTGATCTAAGGGAAGCGCCTTTAACAGCACCAAGGCCTTGGACATCGCATTTTTTGGGATCAGTTGTTTTTTTTATTGAATTGAGTAAAATATGTAAATACTAATACAACCTAATTTGAAAATTCCCCTCACATACTGCAGGCATTTATATATTTAACTCACCAAATATCAGTTACTCAACAAAGACACTGTTAATTAACTACTATCTTTAGCCTAAAACCAGAGATGGCAAAAGTACTCACTTTCCGTACTTGAGTAAAAGTACAGATACTTGTGTTAAAAAATACTCTGGTAAAAGTGGAAGTACTGATTAAACTTCTTTACTCAAGTAAAAGTAACAAAGTACAGGCTTGTAAATTTACTTAAAGTATAAAAGTAAAAGTAGAAACCACTTTTTTCATGCTGTTGCCTACATTTTAAATGGATGTCTGCCGATAGGACTAGATCTCCGTTGTGTTCATTTTCAATCATCTCGTCGTCCATACTACTATGCTAACGCCACCGCCACCAAGCTGCAATGATTTGCCGCGAATGAATACCGCAGAATCTGTCGATTCATTTTGTAGTGGTGCGTCAAATGCAACGTAGATTCCCATCCAATTAGATTGAATTTGGTATTGATGATGTGAAAAAAAATAACGGTAACTCCATTGAAATGATTCAAAACTAAAGTAACGAGCCAATTTTTTAAAATGTAAGGAGTAGAAAGTACAGATATTTGTGTAAAAATGTAAGGAGTAGAAAGTACAGATATTTGTGTAAAAATGTAAGGAGTAGAAGTAAAAAGTCACCATAAAAATAAGTAGTAAAGTAAAGTAAAAATATCAGAAAAATCTACTTGAGTACAGTAACGAAGTATTTGTACTTCGTTACTTCCCATCTCTGCCTAAAACTTGCAGAAAACCTTGATGTCTTACACATTTTACATATCCGGATAATTAGATATTTAAAAAAAAAGTAATTAACATCCTCTTGCCTTGTTGAAATATTTCATCAACAGCTCTGTGGCCTCAGGTAATGAGAGTTCCTTCAGCTTCCTAGAAATTTCACAGAGTTGAGCCGGTTCAGAGCCTTTGGACTCATACAGATGAGAGTTTCTGACTAACAAGTGCTTCTGCCGGTCCTGGATAGAGTTGCTTTTAAACTCAAGAACTGCATCTAGTGCCTCCACAGCTTCCTGCAGCTGGAGAAGGGAATGCTCCTCCTGCAAGACCAGCATAAAGCAAACAAATAAACAGTAATATGTTGAGCATAGAGAAAAATAATAACTGGGCAGACATATCGAGCACATATTAACACACAATGTAAGATGTAATTTCCTACCTCCATGGTGAGCACCCTGTTGTCCCTCAGTTGAGCTTCCAAAGTATCCCTTTTCATCTTAAGCATGTACCTGTATTTTTCCAGTTCCCTGATTGTAACTCCTTTGGTCTTTCTTATACTGCTCTTGCCCTTAAGCTGCTCTTCCACAGACTCCAGTTCAACAGACACGTGCAGCAAGTCTTGACTCAAAGCCTATATGTTTTTAAAAAATTAGTACCAAATCTTGCTTTGGAAACACATGTTTAGAAATGCATTCAGCAGCAAACAGTAGCTGACCTGACTGGACTGCAGCACCTTGACCTGGAGTCTGTTTTTTAGTTGCAGGATCTCCTCCCTGTGCTGCAGGATCTCCTCTTTTCTCTCCAGCTCTTCTTCCAGCTCCTGCAGCTCTGCTCTCTGCTGAATGACCTGTTCTTCTTCTTTTTCAAGCCAGCTGGTGTCCAGCAGCTACAATGCATGATGAAATGAGAGAAATATGACAAAAGAAAAAGATACACTTTTCTTGAACCACAACTCAAGATAACCGTGTTAATGACAAATAATGTTTGAATACTTTACCACTCTGTCTGATGCTTCCTGGTGAAAGCCTTTAGGGTTATTTGAACTCTTTGGACTTTGTCCCTGTTCACGAGACCCAAAAAACATATCAATAAGAAAAAATTATAATCATTTCAAACTGAATGTTGGCTGCACAAATAAAGAAATTTGGAAATTTAAATTATGTGCAACTGAGGTCCATGGTAAGTAAATCAAACTATAAAACATAATGTACACGAAAGCTCATGCAGTACAGGAATGGCTCACCTAATCAATGGACAATCACCAAAAATACTGATTAAAAAAAAACTCCCCCCAGTAAAAATGATCATGTTTTCTTTTATAAACCTCATCTCATTGACCTTATTTTGTTGGAGTTTTTTGTTGCTGTCCACAGTCTCGCCCAGCTCCCTGAGGCTGCTCTGAAGCTTTGCTCTCTCCCGCCTCATGCTCTGTAGGCTGTGGTACACCTCAGCTCGGATCTGCTGGCTCTGAATGGACAGTCTTTTCAACACGTCCCCTTCCGCTGCTCCCACTGTTTGGGTTTCCCTTGCTGTTTAAGGGAAACAATCTTGTTGAGTTTTCAGGCATTTCATGTTATAATACTGACAAAATTCTCTGAACTAAAAAAAAAAACATGAAAATGTGATGCAGTTCAGTTTATTTCCTGTCAGTGTATTTAGGTCAGTGCTATTCTGATTTTATTCCAAACCTAGACTTAATTATTATAATTTTCTACATACAGGACTAAGAAATATGTAAAAGTACCAGTTTTCTCTAGTTCTTTGATGAGGTCTTCCTTCATCCGGATGTTGATGGTGAGTTCATGGATTCTCCGTTCAGCATTGATGGTTCTTCTAACTTCCTTTGTTTGGTTTTCTTTAGTGTCTGAAACGTTAAGAGAAAGAAACAGCTTCTTGGTACAGTTTATGTCAACCCGATGCTTAAGAAGAGATAACAGGATGCGCTAAATAAAAAAAATGCATTAAATAAAGTATCTAAAGTTAAAAACAAACAATGGATACCTTTGTCCTGAACAGACTCCTGTACAGCCGTGTTTCCATTAGATTGTTTCAGTCCAGAACTTTGGGGTTTCAGCAGTGGGTTCTGTTCCCAGTTTGTCCATGTTAGATTTAAAGGATGTCTAAAGGAAAGATTATTTTGTTTTAGAAATGTAATATTAACATGATACTACTCTATTTTGGCTTTATGTGGTAAAATGTTATGAATAAAGCAGAATAAAACCAGCTTAAACCACCCTCTACAGGTGTGGAGGGTGGTATAAGCTGGGGTTAATGGTACCAACAGTTGCTACCCTCGGGCTTTGTGTAAACCTTCATTCAGATGGAAAGCGGTGAATGACATCCTTTAAGTCCAGTATTTATTATGGTAATTAAGCCTTTGAATTGAGAACATTTTTGGGATCAGGCTGCACCCATTTTTTTTTTTCAAAATGGTAACGTCAACAAGTACAGGGAGTAAGAAGAAACTCTCAAACATGGATGTTTTCCTACTTCAGCTGTTTTGTTTTTATTTTTGTTAAAGTATCTGTCTGCCTGACTTGTAGCAAATCACAAAGTCTGCAAGACACAAGCTTTTATTGTGGGTGTTACACTGTCGTGTTATTAAAGTAGTTGTGCTCCTTTGTCATTTTATGACTTTGTAGTTCTGATCATTTCATACCAAACTTTTGTACCTGCTTCAATTTAAATACATTTTCAACATAATTGTTATGATTCTTTCACGTTCTCTGCTGCTCCTGCTGAGATCGACTCATAATTTCTGCACCTCTGTCTTATTCCAGCTTCTTACAGCCCGTTACTTGACAGAATTTTGTGAGCGACTGGATGTAGATGTCCAGTGTTTCTTCCTTGTCCTCATCTGATCTCCTGTTCTTTGACATTGCTCATGTGCCCCATATTCTACCTCCCCTGCATTTACCCAGCTTTTGATTTCTGAAACTAATTTCTTCACACACAACATTGAGTTTAGCTTTTTGTAAAACCTTCTGATCTTTGCCTTTGCATGTTTGGTCCCTGTGTGTCTCTGGTCAAGCCTCTGAACGCAGGATTCATTATTATTGGATTGTTGGACCTCAAACCTGATCTATATGGGAATCCTTCCCCATCAATCTCATGTGATGTATTCCACACCTGAGCTGTGTTTTCAGTGCTTCACTGTGTGGGCAGAAGACTTTTTAAAAATTTCTATTGCTAAAATGGTTAATGTGTTTGTCAGCATACCAGAAGGAGGATCGTTCGGATCAAGGTACATTTTTCCCTGACTGTGTCACTGTCTGAACTCCCCTGGGGTCTCCAGACCTAGGAGACCAGCTCTAGATTTTAACATTTGTCTGTAAATACATTTTGTGCTCAGCTGAATTAAAAAATAAAAATAAACATAGCAGCTTCAGTCATTGTCCTGAGGGGAGTTTAGTTATGTGATCATTATAAGTTATATATTTCAGCAGGAGATTGATTATAATTACTTTAGGGTACATTACTCTGGAGTCCAGTTGTGTAATGTTTCACAGTAGCTGACTGGCCCAAATCGGAATTACCGTAGAACCAAAATATACATTCATACATTTTCAAAGCATTGTCACTTATAGATTGATTATTCTTAAAAAAAAAAATCAATGATAACTTATTTCCAAAAGCATTTTCCTCTTCAGTGTCCAAATTCCTTTATCAGATATTTTATGAAAGCAAAAATAATTTAAATAGCAAACCATGAAAACTGTGTTACCATCCCTATTAGGGCGGCTCCACATTAGAAAGGCTTGTTGATTATTTCAATGATTATATTGACTGTTACTTCCTAACATTTTCCACGTCTCTCTCTTTTCCATTAACACACTGTCCCCTCCTCTTTCCTTGAGACTTCTATCAGTAAGTGGTCGCAGAGTATTAATAGACTGCTCCTGTCATAAAACACTGCATCTAGTCACTCCATGGGATTGCAATTTTTGCACACATTAATACTGCAATAACTGCTCCTTGACATATCTGCTTTAGCACCACTTATCCTATAAAGAAGCCCACTTTTTCACCCTTCAGCCCAAAGTGTAATTGCTGTCACTATAATCATTTTTTATACTTTCATAATAAACTATAAAAAAGTATTTTCAGTAAATGTTCTGACCTAAATTCCTCTTTGCTCACAGATCTCTCCATTCCCATGATTTTCTCCTCCTCATAATTATTTTGAGTTATTTCTTGGCTTTCTCTCCACTGAGTCCTGAATGGGCAATAGATTTCATCTTTCTCCTCCATCTCAGCCAGCAGTAGACGGCCCCGCATCTTAAAAGCTGCCATCACCCTCTCCAGTGAGCAGGCTGGTGGACTTGAGTGAATCTACAAACACAGACAACCAGACAAAAATACCTGCAGATATAGATAGAATAAAAACAACAGATAAAAAAAGAAAGCCCATATTAGTTTAGAGGGAAATGCAATACCTTCCTGGACTGCTTGTGCAGAGAGCTGTGTCCAGTTATAGGGACACTGTGGGGTCTTGCACATGAGCACCCAGAGGGCCTTGCTTCTCCAGCTGTTCCGGGGCTCGTCCCATGAACAGCCATGAGGTCGCTGTGAAGGCGATCAATCTCAGTCTGCTTATTCAGCAGTTGCTCTCTCTGAAAACAAAACAAAAAAACATATTATATTCATACATATGTAAATGAAGCAACAACTTCAAAATGGCCATTTAACTTTCTGATCCTTCTTCTTACCTGAATCTGAGACGCTTTCTTCTCTTTCTCTAAGGCTAAAAGTTGGAGTTGCTTTTCTTCCAGTAATTTCTCAACTTCTTTTTGAACCTGTCTCAGTTCTTCCTCTTTTTGCTCCAAAATATATTCTTTCTCTTTCAGGGTTTTCTATAGATGATGGAAAGAAAAAACAGAAACAGACAAAAACTATAAGCTTTTAAAATTATCTGATTTCTTTTTTTTTTTCTTATCCAGTGGCTGTCTTTTTGATCAATTCAATTTTTTCCTTTTTTTTACTATTTACTATAACCCTACAAATCTCAGCAGCTCCCTCTGTATGCATACAAAGGTCTTATGATTACATTATTTAGTCGTCTTATCTCATTATAATACAGTATGTGATTTGCTTTGATTTGTTCTATTTGATACTAAACAAAGCACTTTGCATGTATTTACCATAACCCAACCACATGGCTGAGGGTACAATATCGTGCATAATGTGTAAACGAGGTAGAACCACATATTATATATCAATGGGAGATGCAGTGAAGCAGAGCTAGTCAGCAATGCTAAGTGGAGGTGAGACAAGAAAATGGAAAAGTTTAAGATCAAGTGAGCAAAAGACCACAAACAAAATAATACTTGGTGCTATGAAGGACAAGGCACGAGTAGTATTCAGAAAATAATATGAAGGCTGTTTTTTACTGAAGCGGGAGCTAAAACTGCAGCAGCATTCAGATTTCCCTGTCAAGCTGATTAATTAATGGGTAGACAGCTTTACTAATGCGGATGATATCGATAGCAATGCTATAATTAGGCTGCTGGTAAGAGTGACAAAAACATTGGTATGGTATGTAACGCATAGAATGTTTGCTGTAATTCAAGATTCCACTTTGCTAGGCAGTAATATAAGCTGCAGGCGGATGGTGGCTGTTTACAACAATGTTTATATCTGCTGATTGGCCGGTTTAGTCTCTGGAAGGACTAAGTAAACACTAGAAGGATTAATGCTTGTTGTTTTTTGTATTCTTTTTTTATAACAGTTCATGACAAGGCACCTTTTGAAAATATTTTTTCAATGAACACATAACTTTTAATGTGGCTAACTGAATACCGTTTTCTTTTCACCTGACACTTGTAGAGTTCTTCTCTCAGTTCTGAATGGGTTAAGTTGAGAGTTTGGTCTCCAATCCCCTCTGAACTATTGTCTGCTGGATGTGACTGACCCACAGCTGCCAGTCTCTCCTGCCAGTCTTGCAGTTTCTGCCTGAATAGATCAGTTGGAGATGCCTCTGAGATTTCTGCAAGCAAAGTTGCAGCTTCCCTTGTCAAGAGGAGATACTGTGCAGCTGTGTCTTGCTTCAGCCTCTCATCCAGTACAGGTACGCTAATCTGTTTCAAGCCATCTCCACCACTTGTTTTCTCCTTTTCCATTTCCTCCATGTCCTTCTCCTTCTCTTTCAGAAGCTCTCTCAGAGTCTGGACCTCGTACTCCAGCTCCTCCAGTCGAGCTTTGGTGGATGGCCAGATTCCAGGGTCTGATTTAATATGTGTCAGAGAGGGAGCTGGTCCTGGACAGTTGCGGATGTGACGGGCCTTGGATGCAAACTGAAGAACGTTCAGAGTCTCACCAACAAAGTGGTGGGACGGGCTCACGCATGCAACCATCACAGTGTGGGCATTGCCTCCCAGTGAGTCCCTGAGGAGACGAGTGATCTTGGCATCACGGTACGGTACATGCGCACTGCTACAGCTGTTGCCACGCCGGCTCCGCCCACGGTCGGAGAGGGCCCTGATGACATTACTTATTGCAAGCAGCCCTGTGTTGATGAGTGCAGACTCTTTGAATTGTGTTCCAGTGTTTCCGGTTTTGTCAGCACGTTCTGATCCCGCCAGGTCCACCAGGCAGAGTTTGGACGACCGCAGGGACTTTAAAGATGTGTTATCTTTGCTTCGAGAGCAGATGTTGACCTGAAGGGTGAGGATCACATGGGAACGACTGGAGTGCTCGTTCATTCTCGTTGCACAAGTATGACGGAGGGCATTTCCCATCTGCACAGCATCGAGCAGCTCTTCAGGGGAGGTTACAGCCATTTCTGTGGCACCAACCACCACTGAAAATAGACCAAAAAAATACAATAAGATCTGCTGGACAGACAAAATCCTGTTTTTATAATAAGTGTGGACATATTTAGTGTGCTTTTGTGCTCTTGCTATTATACTTAATCAGTCTTAAAACCTGGCAAAGATCACACTACTTTATTTATGTCATTACACACAAAATAACTGAGAATGTGATCTATTCTTTATTAGATTTTTCTTTATTGTATTTGAAATTCTGAATTATTACCTGTATTCCCCTTTTCATCTTCTCTGATGTGAAGCTCTTTAAAGTTAGTGTTGATGTCCAACAGGTCCCGTAGCTCCTCTCTATAAAGCTCCAGGTAAGAGATCCGCACCACGGCTTTAATGCCGTCATTGTTCTTCTGCTTTGCCAGCAACAAAAACACATCTTGGGCAACACGATCAATAATTCCTCCTTCATCTAAAAGAGATTTTTTTAAATGAAGATATTAATTAGTATATAATGCAACAATGCATGAAGAGAAACAAAATAAAGCTTGTGTGCACAATATTTATCTTTTCTATACTCTGAGAACTCACATTTTAACTTAATATTTAATCTTTAAATATAATTTAGTCTTCTGTGCATTTAAGTTTACTGTCTATTTGTTTTTACAACTGCTACAACTGAGACAATAAAGGCATTTTAATATCTTTAACCCTTTATAGGGCACTCAGTGAAATACTTTGAAAATCAAAATTTTAAGCCAGTAGAGTTATTGGAATCCAGGACAAAACCTTATTACCTTTGGAAAATTAAGAAAAAAAGGATATTTGGGTGGCAAAAATGAATGTCAATGTAATAACAAGAACTTGCCCGAATATATTAAGAAAAATAACAAATGTGCTTCTATAAGAAATTCGTGAAAAACACTTTTTTTTGGTACATCATAATCTTAGAGGCTTTAATACTAGCACTGGCACTTATATTATTTACTTTATAAACCTAAATATAACTGTTAACTAGGCTTATTAACTTTTTAACTTTACTTTTTAACCTTTCAATGAGCTTTTTACCTTTTTTTCTTCACTTGTTAACTTTTGTTAACTCATTTACAGTAGGTAATATATCATTCAAGGCCTCATTTAATTGGTCAAATGCCAAAATAAGATGTACAGCCATGTAGCAGTATCTTTAGAATGGCTGGATATAGATCTTGTGATTCTAGATCTCACTTGGGGGGGTTAAAAGATAAATCTAAAAAATAGAAAGATAATAAAAACATTTGTCAATACTTCAGTTCAAACAGCAAAATCTTGTTCTCATTCATTCTAGTATTTTATATTAATCGTTGATAACTATTAATCGAAATTGTTAATGAAAACAGACTTTTTTTTAAAAATCTAAATGATATATGAACACTGATGTTCGATAATTAAAGTGAATTTACTGATATGCAAATCGCTTTTACAATATTCAGATTTAATATCCACATTTTTATTTATTTTAAATAAAACTACATAACTGTGGTCAACTTGCCTTGGCTTCCCCCTCCCAGTGTGTACGTCTTTCCAGAGCCAGTTTGTCCGTAACAAAACACCGTAGCGTTAAATCCAGCAAGCAGGGACTCCACCAGCGGCTGGACACAGCTCTCATACACCTCATCCTGGCTGGCTGTGGGTCCGAATGCGTGGTCGAAAGAGAAGAGGCGGTCCGAACCGAGCATCACCTGCCCAGAACCCTGCGGTACCACCCGGACACACTCCTGGTGGTGGTGGAGGAGCTCTCTGCTGAGCAGAGGACGGATACGGACCGCGACCCGAATATAAACCTCACTCATTAGGCCGAATTAAACCTATAAACTTACGATGGGGTTCACTGTTTTGACAAAATCGAACCCCTAAATATTTCAAAAATCTGATTTTGAAACATCTATGAGCGATTTCCCTGATCTAACAAGACAAACCATGTAACAGAACCCATGTTCAACGTTCTTAGGCATTTCTGTTACAGTTTCAGTTACTTCAGCTCTTTGGATTTGTTGTCGACTTGGGTTGCCCGGCAACCGACGCCGATGTGACGCATCTTCCAAAAAGCAGGAAGAATATGGCAGGCCATTTTGACATTTATTAGCTTGACTGAATATGTATATTCAGATATGAAATTCATTTTTAGACATCCAGAATGTTTATTTCAAATAGGAGTAATGTCATTTTGGATATCTGAAAGTAACGGCCCAATACATATGAACGGGGAAAAGTTACCTCATTTGTCCTAGTAAGAGTTACATTTCAGATATCTGAAATTTATGTTTTAGATAGGAACAATGTTATTTTAGATATCTGAAATGCTCATTTTGCCTAGGAAGAAATGCATTTGAGACATGTTAAATATATATTCAGTCAAGTTAATGAATTTCAAAAGGGCCACTTAAAATTTCTAGATTTCTAGGTAGGCTATTTGAAAGTTTGTTCTTACTAGTACAGTTATATTGTTGGGAGCCTGAAATGTAATTTTTGCTAGCAAAAATGTATTTTAGGATATCTATATGTACATTTCTGACTAGGAAGAATCTTATTTTAGAGATCAACAAATGGAACAATAGAGGACGGCACTTCTAATAAATGTCAAAACGGTCTGCCGTTGTACGTGTTGAAGAAGGCACGGGACAGGTGTCGTGAAGGCAACAGCGCCATCTACTGCATATAGTAGGTTACTGAATTTTTAGAACATAAACCTGACATACCTAACAGCTCTGTGCTCCGGGTTCACAGTGGAAGCTATTATGGACATTTCATCAGAAACTTTTATATGAACTACAAAATGAAAAATGTTTCTTTTAAAATGTACAGGATTAACCCCGCTTACCTGTATATGTTAAAATATATACAGACAATAAACACCCATTGTAAATTTTGCAAAGAGTATCCAGATCAGTCCTTTTTTTCGAAATCGCAAAGTAACAAGAACATTTTGGAAGAAATGTAATAGCTTTATAACTTGTAATATGGATACCATTTTTTTCAGTATGCTATGAACATGTTATTTCTGGTGTGCATGGGGAGAGGACTAACATATTGAAAAGACTGGCAATTAATCTAATAATATTTGGCAAATTTAAATTCTTATCAATGCTTTTTTCCAATACTTATTAAAGAAACTGGATTATATAAATCCTTTATACACAAGGGTACAAACAAAACAGCTATATATATATATTAGTGCCTTAAATCAATTTCATTGAATTTATTCTAACATCTTTGTGTTGTATTTTTTGTCTGTACTGAATGTCTTAACGTGGGTATCTATCCCCCTGGTATGCCTTGTTATATGTTTGGTATTCTGTTTCTTATCCTATGTTTATTTTTAAAGAAAGATGCCTATCAATAAAAAAACAAAAGCTCTATATATCTAGTGCCTATTAAAGAACGGAAATTACAAAACAATGAAAATAAAGACATTTTCTACAATTTATGGATTTAAAAAGTGAGAAGTGCAGTCTTATATAATGCAATCAATAATTGAAACAATCTGTGTTTTGATACAGAAAATATCCCTCCTTGCTTAAGAGTTGGTAATGTCGGAGATTTCCAGAAGAACTGGGGATAAATTATAAAAGTGATTTTTTGGTTGCATTAATTCTTCTATCATTTGTTTCCATGTTCAGTAAATTGCGACTGGTCACCACTTTTCTGTTGTGATCATTGTCTGCACTTTAAAAAAAATATCGACACTTTATTTGACCAACAATGCTAAAAAAAAAGAATCTGATTCTCAGCTTCTGATTAAAAAGAAGAAAAGCAAAGCCAGGACTGAGCAAACCAGCTCCACCATTTTAAGGAATCTGGACTGTTTTGTCAGCCCTAATTCAAAATGCAAAACTACTGACCGGGAAAACTTTACACTAGATTGGTTCCTTTAAAGTCTGTTGAATACTTATGAACATTTGTTTCATTTATAAAATGTACAAAGAGAATATTTTAGGATTTTTTTTGCAGTTGGAACAACTTAAGATAAAGCATTGTTAGCTAAAGGCAGCATTGGTATAATCACCTAGAATGATGTACTTCTTTTTTTTCATCTGATCTAAAGAAACTCGACAAGAACTCTAGAACTCTACAAAGACAAATTCTTCATAAAGTGAATAACTTTAAGGTGAACCGTTCGCATCATCTGCAGGAGACTGTAACAGTGTCTTCAGTCAAAGGCTCCTTCAGATCCAATCTAAGACAGACTGATGCAGAAGATCCTTCCTGCCTTCAGCTATCAACATCTGTTAGAATTTGTTACAGATTTATTTTCCTTTGGGATAAATAACATACTTATCAATCCCACTGACCACTTCAAAACATGCATGATGTAAATAAATAATATAGCTTCAATAGTCACAAAATACATTTGTTATAAAATATTCAATGTGAAAACATTTTCACTGACTGCAAACTGGCCAGTTTTATTGAATCAAAGTTTATTTTACAGCAGAAAATGAAGCCTGTCACAATACTCTGCTTAGATCAGTAGTAAATGCAGCGTGTGTGGTGAATGGGAATGTGGGCCATCTCTTTGTGGTGCTGCTTAGCAAAAGGCCAAAGGTAGAAGTCAATGATAGCAGAGTTAATGCTGCTGACTGCTCCGTCTCTCTCCTGGATAAGCTTCTGCAGACTTTCTTTGATCAGCTCCACAGACCAAATCGAACATCCTCGGATCTCGACCTCCCTCCGATCCCCTGAAGGTAGCAGCTCACCTAAGAGAGATCACCCCTGAGGATTATTTACTTTCTGTTTTCCGTTGGTTTAAAACAGCCACCTTGGAATTTGCCCATATTATATTGAAATTCAGCATGAGAGACTAACAGAGTCATAGAGGAAAATCTGAAAAGTGTGACGTGCATATGTTACAGCAAAGTAATGGGGAATCCATAGAAGCTGCAGACATTCGCAGCTTAGGGAGACAAGAGCACAAATATTAGATGTGCACTTCTGAAATCTGATCTTTTGGAAAAGGTAAGAAAGAATTTAACAAACATGTGGAAAAAGATGCTCTGAAACAAAACCAAAGCCTGCATGCAAAACACAAGGTAAAACGCAACATTTGGTTCAATTAAAAACTTCAAGTACAATTCTAATCACATTTTTGTTTATAATAATTAAAATAAATGCCGTAAACTGATAAAACATAATGCATAGCAACAATATATAAGTTGATTCCACACATAAAAATTAAGTATTTGATAGAGTTTGGTGCAGAGCAGCGCAATCTTCTTGGCTGAGATTTTCCCCCTTTAGTGTGACCCCTCCCCTATTCAAAGACAAGGAGAAGGAAAATGGTTGCTGTAAGAATGATCTAGTCAAAACCCAGACCTAAATCCTGTTCATAATACGCGGCAAAATTTCCAAACCGATGTTTGGAGATGCTCTCATTTAAAATCCAAGTGGCAAATATTTCCAGATATGCAAAACTGATGGAAACAATTAGCAAAATATATGAAGCAGTAAGTGCCATAAATAAATCATACGCCATAGTATTGAGTCAGGGGTACAGAATATAGAAGAAGGCCACACTTTTAAGATTTATATTTTGCTTCCAGCTCAATCCAACTATTTGAAACTTTGTGTTGGCCAGACAGAAAAATCTTAATAAAAGCTTCTGGTTTTTAAGAAAGACAGAAGGCTGGATGGTAATGTGGTGCAGCAGCAGAGCAGGCGCCCATTTGTGCAACAAAAAACGTGTAAAGGTTTTAAAGGTATGAACATTTTCTTAAAGAAAGCAAATACATTAATCAAATCGAGTAAACACTCATGTCTCCATTTCTCACCGTTCTTCAACGCCTGCATCAGTGCATCAGAGTATCGCAGCACTCCCAAATACACGAGTGCTTGAGGGACCCTGTAGTCTGCAAACATGGTGAGCCAGTCCATGTTGATGATGTCACCCTCTCCTCTGGCTTCCATCACACCCCAGAAATCTGCTACTAAGATCTGGGCTCGCTTGTAGAGGGAGATCCTTTTGCCCTTAAACAATAAGCAGATTAGCACAACATTGAATTAATCTTCACTCAGCCTCCAACTACTGAAATTTATTGCTCTTACTTCAACACATTAAGAATCACTATGTAACAGTAGTTTAAGGGTGTCCTTCACAATTTTTTATATTTTACTTAAAAAACACACAAAAAAAATGCTGAAAACTGTGAGCGACCCTTAAGATGAACACTTTTGATCAGCATCAAGATATATGTCATTCTACTTTTGGACAGAAGGGGGAACCATCATGTTAACATTTCTTCAAAGTCCTCCGCAGGCAGGTAGTTTTAAGCTGTTTAAGAGAAATGTAATAGGCTTAATGTGTGGTTTAATAATCAAAGGATTAAATATTAAGAAAGTAGGCTGTGGAAGGTAGCTAACCCTAAGGAGGCCAGAAAACCACAAAGACAGTGGGAGCAACTGACAGTTGATACCTACACTGCAAAAACGATCTTGAAATAAGTAAAAAATTTCTTAAATTGAGTGTATTCACCCTTAATTTGAGCAGGTAAATGAGACAGTTTGCCAATGGAATGAGTAATTTTACTCTTAAAATAAGATAATTAGATAAAATGCACTTGAAATAAGACAATGCAATTGTGTTTTCTTATTTTAAGTGTAAATTGTCTTGTTCCACTGGCAAAATGTCTCTTTTACCTCCTCAATCCAAGAACAAATGCACTTATTTTGATAAAAAATGACTTATCTAGATTCAGATTTTTTGCAGTGTACTGAATATCTTTGCAGTTTGTATAAATTCAGACATTCCTCATCCTTTTCTGTGTTTATTCAGTCCACTGACCTCATAGGTAGCTTCATCCCTGTAGGATGGGATCTTCTCCACAATAAGCTCCACCATCTTCCGAGCGTCGTTTCCAGCCTGGCTGATAAAACTGCGGAAACTTCCTCCGTGTTCCAGCAGCACGCGGCCGCCTTCAGCGAGGACCTGGACAGAAAGATTCAGGTTGTAAAGGACACAGATCTAACATGATAAATGAGATGAGCTGCTCACCATCAACTAGTTTTAGAAAGGGAGTAAATAAATATAGAAATAGAGATGACTGATGAGAAACAACAATAAAGTAATAATATAATATATATTCTAGTGAATACCGTTTTCTGGAAGGAAAATTTTAATCTTATGCTTTTACATTAAATTTGCTGCCTTGAACAAGGCAAGAATTTTTGCATTGGTACCAGAGGCTTTGATCATTTCTTAATCAACCACATAATTTGGTTGTAATTCAACTGGTTTCTGTTAATACAAATAAGAAGCTTGTTCTTATCTATAAAACAGGACAGGTCGTTTAAATTCCATATTCAGTTGGTATCTAGAACTTCCTTCTATCACCATTGGGACTATTTTGTCAGAGTGAAGGTGAAAACGCATTGGTTATCATCACTATAAAAAAAAAAACATAAAAACCTTCATCTTATATAGTAATAGTTTGAATGATAAATGAAAAATCAAATTTCTTGTATTTGAGCTTCCTTTTATGAATCTCTGTTAAATCCAGAATGCAATATAAAATTCTCTTTCTAATGCCTAACACCTTACAGGGGTCATGGAATGCAAAACAGAGTTTATATTGTCATAGATGAATAACGATAGTTCAGTGGGTGAAATGGACGTACAGAGAAGTTCAAACCCCATCGGTACCTCCTCTCTTTGCAAATCTCACATTTCTAAACTTCCACCATACAAACTTCCACCAGAGTTGACGTAAACTCTGGGATGTTGCCTTATTTGGTTCTGGCCTGTACTCAGAACCTGCCTTACCCCTCATTCTCATTGTAAACCAACCAATCAGCGCACAGCTCACCTAAATATTCCTGAGCATACCATAAAAGGAACTAAACCTGTTTCATTCTGGGGCTTTTAGCCAGGTTTGCATTAGGGCTCATAGAACAGCAAGTATGCCATTTTCAGCCCAACCAATGTTACACACCCTATTCAGAGACCTTAAGGACCAGCACCAAATACCCTACATAATCATTCTATGACCCCTTTAATAAAGGGTTAACTACTGGCACATAGAGTTTCTAAAAGTAGAATTGGAGGCAGATCTTTTACTTTTTAAGACTTCTCTCCTGTATACCCTAAAACTCAAATTTTTATTCTCTGAGCAGACACCCTGTCTACTTTTGAGACTGGGCTTAAATCTTTCCTTTTTGATGAATCTTACAGTCGGATAGGCTCAGGTTATCCTGAGTTATTTCTTTAGTTATGCTGCTATAGGCTTAGGCTGCTGGAGGACATAATGTCCAATTTTTTCTCACTCTATAAAAAGTTGAAAAACAGAGTAACAAACAAATGTAGGTTAAATGTAGAACCTGGTGACGTTCCTGAAGCATCGGCATGCCCGTGTCATTGTCTGATCGGAGAACGTGTTCCAACTCCTCCACACTCATCTGGGAAAAGTATTTGGGATCAGTGATGGGAACGCCTTTGGAAAGGGAAGGCAAATTATATTGGTTATTATTTATGGTTTATAATGTTTAGTAAAAAAAATTAAAGAATTTTTTTCTAATTTCATGTTTTAAGCTCTACTGAAGCACAATCTAGCTAGGACTATCCGTGCTTTACTGAGAGAAGCTGTCAGAAATATAAAGGGCACAGCGATAACACATCCAGAGTGGTATTCCATACGAGACATAACTGATTCATATCCGGAGCCATTCATGCTAATTATAAATTCACCATCAGCCTCATGCAGAGCCATCAGCAATTTCCCCCGTACTCCGAGCTTACAAAGGGCACACAGACAATAAGTGGCCATAATAATACCACATTTTTTTTATTTTCTGCTAGGAATAAGAAAACAAAAATAGCCACATGGCATAATGCCACCGTGTCATCTACAGTGACACTGTGGCAGCATTTTCTGCCAATGGCTCAGTGTTTGGACTTTTCTATTCACACATTTTCCCCCAACTGGGATAAATCTTATTTTCTTTGCAACCTTTTTTTTTCTTCTTCTTCTTTTGTACCATTTTCTCTTCAGTCTACTACCACAGCATGGTGGCTCTGGCTGCCAGGCAGTGTCGAGGTAGATTTCCTCCAAAAGGGGTGGATGGAAATATTACCGGTATTACATGATGAATTTATTGTATTACAGGCATAAGAGCCATCATCTACCCGCAGACCTTCCCGCTTAAAGGAATAGTACACCCAAAACATGATCACCCCCATGCTGAACAACACTCTGGAGTACTTTTTTGATATCTCAAATGCATCTGGAGATCTGGGAGGCTTCTTGCTGTCTGCTGACATTCAAATAATGGAGGTCTATGGTGACCGAGACAGAAAGGTCCATAAAAGTCCACAAAAAACGTGTCAATATTCCTCCATACTGCTCGTCCAATGTATTCCAAGTGTCCTGAGTGGGTAGCATCCAGAATTTACTCGAAACGAAGTCATTTAGAATGTTTTTAGAGCATAAACAGTAGTGTATAGGATTTCCTGTAAGCGCGCACATGCGCGCTCACGACGCTACGGAAGCCGGCAGACCAAACCAGCGCATTCAGCTCGGTAAAGAACTCATGCTCTTCCTCAACACTGAAGTCCTCAGACATTTTTCTTTCGTTGTTTCTTTCTTTGCACAGGTAAACAGCACATTTCTTCTTCTACGCTTGCATTATTGGCAGAGCAGACGCTGAATGCGCACTTTCATCTGGTTTGGTCTGCCGGCTTCCGTAGCGTCGTGAGCGCGCATGTGCGCGCTTACAGGAAATCCTATACACTACTGTTTATGCTCTAAAAACATTCTAAATGACTTCGTTTCGAGTAAATTCTGGATGCTACCCACTCAGGACACTTGGAATACATTGGACGAGCAGTATGGAGGAATATTGACACGTTTTTTGTGGACTTTTATGGACCTTTCTGTCTCGGTCACCATAGACCTCCATTATTTGAATGTCAGCAGACAGCAAGAAGCCTCCCAGATCTCCAGATGCATTTGAGATATCAAAAAAGTACTCCAGAGTGTTGTTCAGCATGGGGGTGAGTAGAAAATGAAGGCTAATCATGTTTTGGGTGTACTATTCCTTTAAGGGGGAGAAAGAAAAAGTACAATGTAACAACAACGATGAAAAACAAAACGAGAAACACATAAAAGCAGCAACTGCAGTTTAAATGTTTGTCATTCCAAATATCTCTGGTGGCACTTTCCTATCTGTTGTGCGTGTATTTGTGTAGTCGCTACTGTGTTTAGGTGTGTGCATCTCCATGTATTCATGTTTGCGCAAAAGGAGGCAGAAATTAGAACAGAATAGAATCAAAAAATAATAGAAAATCCCTTTAGTGTCCCACAATGGGAAAATTCTGGTGGTAAGATGAAATTGAAATTTGGAGGTGGTCAAAAACAAAAGATGAGGGTTCAGTGAAGAAATCCTACCAAGCCTCCCAAAGATGGCAAATGCAGAAAAGAATAGAGAGAGAAAGAGAGAGAGACCTCATCCTGAACACCAACCTACTGCCTTCTGCTCCTTCTCGTTCAGATCAAAACGGCAAAAGCTAGAATTAAGGTACATGACGTAGTGAAGTGCTCTTACCTTCTTCCATGGCTCTGGTGATGGCAGCACATAGGGTCATGTAGCCAGTGTAAGTGGTGCCTTTATAGGTCACCTCACACTGCTGTGCCCCGTTCTCTGGCCAGAAGGAGAAGTTCATGGTATCGACAACAAATACCCAGTTTAACGCCTACAGGGTTATTAAAAAACCATCGTTAAGTAGAAATCACTGGAAAGTGGAATGTTCTTTACATAGTTTTGCACAAACATTTAATCAGATGTTCGTTTTAATTAGTTTCATACATTACAGTGGAATATTATTAAATCCTTTTACCTTTCAATGGTACAATAATTATTTTACTAAATTCAACACATAACAGTCTGAAAGTTTAAGACTGAAAATTAATAATTTTAATAGTGAAGTAATATTGTAAATAATAAAGATTTCGGGATAAATTATTTAAGATAAAAAAATTCACATTTTCGGACTCATTAATATTGTCTTACAAGTGTCCAAATGTTGGGATGTTAACAATCCTTACATTTAAAGATTAACATAAAAAAAGGAAAGTTCTACATTGTGTGTTTACTAGATAATTATATACTTGACATTTTATTTTAGTACCATTTTGATTTAGTTCTTCCCTAAGCTTGACATTATGTGGAACACCAAGTTACATTTTTTAATTAACAAAAACGTTGTTAGAAAAAGAAAAAAACCTGTAATATTCATAATTCAAATTAAATCTAATTTAACCCAAAAGCAGCAAATTCTTCAAAAATGTTATTTGGTTCAAATGATTTTTCTCATTTTTAATTTCAGAACATCAATCTGCATTTATTTGTAATGTATTTTTTTCATTCAACTTTTGAACATTTTGTATTTTATACAAACTATAAAAAATTGTAATATATTATATATATAAAAAAAAAGGGAACATCCCCTCTTCTAACTTCTCTTTGATTCTGTTTAAACCCATCTATGGAAGCAAGTGATTTTTTACATTTGCATTGAGCTGAAAGTTAATTCAGCCCTGTGGTGCTGAGAAACTCCCCTGATCAGAGCCTGGTGCTGGAGCCAGAGGATTGGCCATCTTCCAGCCACTAGCTGTCAGGACGTCACTGTGTCTGAGGCCGTAGAGCATCTCTGCTACCTTCTGCACTCCAGCTTCCTCGATAAAAACGTCTCGACTGTGCTGTGCCACAAATCGCCCAGATTCCCTGGGAAGGAGAGGTTTCTCCATGATCACTGCTGCAAAACTACAACGGAAAAAACAAGAAAACATCCCATATTAAATGAAAGGACTCGGTTTCTCAGAAACACACATCAAACACAAATCTAAAGAATATATAGCTGGTTTTAAAATTAAGGCTAAATATAGCGTCCATGATAATGCTTCAGTGCTAATAGCAATTTTACAGTTTTCAATATAATTTACTGAGGAGGTGTATCATGCTCAGGTCTTGAAGGCTATCGTTCAAAGACAGCGTTGGGATTTTTTATGAGATAAAACAGAGCCTATTACATTTCTAAAATTAGATTAAAAGCATTGACAAGGACAGCCTGGAATGTGATTTTTTGTCTATTCTGCCTCAAAAAGGTAACTTTCAGGATTTCTCCTGATCAATCTTCTTATTAACTCTAGCTATGGAGAATCATCCCCATAGCACAATTCTGCCATCACTATGTTTCACAACATATGTTGGCGGATATGTAGGGTTATTTTGTTTCTTCACAGAATTATAGGTGCACACTTTTCTTCTGTGTAGAATCCACTAACTATTTGATTGATCTCTATAGCAGGGGTCACAAATGTGATGCCCACAGGCACCAAGGGGCCCTCAAGGACCACATGGGGTGCCCTCAGCATCTTAATAATGAAGTATGGTAGCCTACTTCTAAACATGCATGAGCCATGAGCACCTTTTCCAGACATTTCTTTTTTTTTTTATAAAATTCAATCAACGGTTTTGAATACTTTAACGAGGAGCAGCAGATGTTTTTTCTTTTTGTCTGGTCACCAACTACACCAAAAAATGACAGATTGATTAAAAAGTATGAATATTGTGTAACATTAACAGGAAGGGCAAAGTCCACCAACGGTTTTAAGTTTGATTTTTTTTCTTTTCATCATATCAATAATTTTGAACATTTAAGCATTTATAGGGATTTCAAAAATGACAAAATATTTAGGTGAATGCTGACTCCTCAGATTCATAGGTCTGCCTAGGACTCTGTGCCCATGGTGCAGCCCTTACCCTTAAAAAGGTTGGAAACTCCTGATCTGCAGCTTCAACTTGAAATTTAGGACTTTTTTAACTGAAACCTGCTTTGAACTTCTCAAACATTTAATCCTCCATCCGCCTGCTTCTTAGCGATGTCGTTTAAGTAATGTTATTTAAAGCACCGTTGAGGTGTTTCATATATAAAGTAACGCAGACGTTAACTTTAATAATGAAGTATGGGACTAAACATGCATGAGCACTGAAATTCTATTCTACACTTTTTCCTGCATTAAAAAAATAAAATTCAATCAACGGTTTTGAAAACTTTAAACGAGAAACAGCAGATTTTTATTTTTTTTGTCTGGTCACCAACTACACCAAAAACTGACATTAAAAGGTATGAATATTGTTTAATATTAACAGGAAGGGCAAAGTCCATCAACAATTTTAACATTCGTCAGTGCTGCATTTAGTTACCATCTGTACCACTTTAAACATTATCTTTGAACTTACTATTAGCTTGTGGCTCGGTTCTGCTCAGATGTTTTTTTCCCCCATTACTAAAAGCAAAAAACGACCGCTTTGTTTCTACTACCGGGTTTGTAGCTGTCAACCAATCAGTGAAACCCTCCGTCTGATCGACCAATCACAACAAGGAAGGAGGGAGCTCGTTATGCGCATGCGCGGAAACCATTCCAAGCAAACCGTTTGTGAACATGTGGGGATACAGAGAACCGAAAGAGTAGTTTAATTTACTTTCTTAAAATCCTCTGTTGAATTTTAAGATTTCTAGTAACTGAATCAAGCAGTCATTGATAATGTTAAAAATCAGAAAACCATATTCAGTAAAAAGTGGTATTTTTATTTCTCTTTAGATTTGACATTGTGAGGTTCACAACAATGAAGAGAAAATGAGTTCAGAGCAGAGGAAATTGCAGACAAAGTAGAAAAGATCAGCGTGTGTCCAATAACTAATATACTACCTTAAATCTTTAACTACCAAAACAAACAATTTTTGGAGTTACTTCAGTATTTTAAGTTTATTTTTTCCCACACCACTACAGAGTTTGTACAAATTATTCAATTCTATTTGTACAGAACTCTGAACATAAGCATTGCAAAATCAATTCTACAGAGCTAACTTTACCCAGAGCTGTTAAAGAACAAAAGGAACATTGTACATTCTGTATGTTACACAAATTTGTAGGAGACTACCAAAAGCATACAAACCCACACACACACACAAACATCCACAATTATGCATAAAAACAAACCAAATCTATCCAAAAATAAAGGTTAAGTTTATTATTTGAGGAAAATCTGACTTTTTGATGAATGTGTCACATTAAAGAAAAGAAAATAATAATCAAAGATTTCTGACAAACTGTTGGACTACACTTAAAAATGCAGATCTTCTACATTTTCGTGGATGCGCAGGAATGTAGGACATTTATTTAATTAAAAATACAAAAATAAAATAAAAAATAGACACCCACAATCCAGAGTAAAAATCTGAAGGGGGATGTGTTGGACCAGGGCAAAGAGATTTGAGAAGAGGAAGGGGGGGTCAATCCAAGTTGTCTTCAATCTGCTCCCTCAGGGGTCTACAGCAAATGACCAGAGTACTGCTTCACACTAAAATGAAAACAAATACAGAAAAGGCTAATTAAAACCGCAAAATATTAGATTTTCTAAAAAAATAAATACATTTACAGCTGCAACCAGAGCAGAATAAATGTGAGAGCAGAATGATTTGCAGGATGGCTGGCCGAGAAGATATGATTTAGGATGAGAAAAGGAGGAAAAAGAGGTGTGGCTAGCAGGTGCAGAACAGAAAAGGGTAGACAGGAAGGAAAGGGGAGGTGGAGTTTGTTATCATGGCAACAGTACACTACTCATGAGACAGAGCAGGGGGTCTGAGGATGTATTAGCAATCGAGCAAAGCTCACATGGCATCAATAAGGAAATAGTTTGTATTATACGTGCCTACTGGTTGCCAAGGGAAACAGAAGAGGAGGAGCCTGTGCTATTTGGCAGACTGTGATTTGTTGTTGCTTAATCTAACTAAAAACAACAAAATCACTAGTCTTCCACACAGCAGCAGCCAGGGAAGAATCGATTCCACTCCCTGCTTCACAGTGAAACGGCTTTGATGGCAAATGGAAAACCCTTCTTTTCCTTTTTCATTCTACTGATCAGATTTTACTGGATGAGTGTGAGTCAATCAAAAGTGTCACTCACACCCCCCTTTATAAAAATAACTGATATTATGCACCTTATTAAGCATGCCTACTCCTTCACAGCCATTTCATGTAAGAGGAAGGTTTGAAGTAGTTGCAGGTTGCATGGGGAAGAAAGGAAGGGGGTTAGTGAAGAGACAGCAGGCAACAGAACCGTACAACCCAAGAAAAACTGGGCTGTCTGATGTTAGAATGGGATTAATACAAAAGAAAATAATCTTATTGATCAACAGTGTGTGTTAAATTAAAGAAGAAAAAAACAACAACAGGATTTTATGTTCTTACTAAAAATATTACATATAGAACAATAATATGGAATTTAAGAGCGTGTTTTTTTTTAGGTTTCAAAGATATAATTTCAAGAAATGTGTGAAACCCTAGGGTAGTAATTCAGGAACATCTATAAAATGGAATAAAAACCAGGGGGAAACACAAACCTGTTCTGTAAAAGGTACTGGGCATTCTGGATCTGGTCCTGGGTACCAGTGATGGTGATGATGCGATCCTCTGAACCCTCCAAAGGTTCATCAATCTTTATAGAGGCCCCAGACTCGTGGCGAATCTGTTTAATCCTCTGGCCTCCCTTTCCAATGATGGACCCAGCCAACTGTTTGAAGAAAAGGCAAATGAAAAGAGTCAGGGGGGGAGATGGATCAGATCTGCCAGGTCTTAGGTTTTTTCCTGACTTGAAGAAAATATGCTAGTTTCTTTTTTTTGTTGGAGTTTGGAATCCAATGCAAAATGCCTTTCTATTAATTTAATCTAATGCCATTAATCTAAACTGAATTTGATTATACTAGTGTTAAACATAAATCCAAATAAGGTCTCAGATTTAAAATATTAAATGTTTATTTTACATTTAGAATTACAGGATCACAAAGTTTATATTGTTTTTTATTCAACAAAATTTGGCTTCCTAATAGGAAAACTGTGGCACTAACCACGTAGATGTTGAAATAATTTACCACACAAGAATTAAAGTCCATGAAGCTATAGTGTCAGCAGAGCTTTTACTAAGCTTTCCAAGTTTTGGAGTCGCACTCACGTCTTTAGGGATTGTCACTTGTGTGGTAATGACAGGACCGCCCATGTCACTGTAGGAGCCACGTCCACCTGATGGCCGAGTGAAGAAAGGTAAAAACCAAAGCAAACATGCAAAGAAATGCAGACTGTAGGAAGATACAAGAACCCAAGAAAACCCAGCATTTCTTTGTACCAAAATTGCTGAGCACTGAAAGAACAAGGACAAATTTTTAAGAAAGAAAAACAATGAAAACAAAATATACCTTTTTATGACTAAAAGACTGCCACGTAGTAACACAGCATGATGGTGTGTTTGTTGCACGAGTGCATGTTACACTACAAGATGAGTCACTTAAATGGTTGGAAGAAAAGTTGTAGAAGCAGGTTGCTCATAAAATCAGCGCAGTTTCTTTTCCCGTATAAAAATGGTTCAATCATCAGTCTCCAACCACATTTTGAGTGACATCTTTGAGCAGTCTATTGAGAGGTGGTTAGCTTAAAATTAAATAATACAACGAATCGAATCAAAAATCAGTAAAAATCTTAGACTAGTACTGATTGAGGGCAAAGGAGGAAGACTAACCTGACGGGTAGCTATCCCAGGAGGAACTGTTATCTGAGCGGGACAGAAAAAACGCAGATTGTTGACTATGTGATGAAATAATTGAGTGTCTACCTAAACATGTGACTCCAAGAACTGCCAAGGACAACACACCATCAATTTGTTGTTATAGTAAAATGTAAAAGAACAAAATTTTAAAAACAAACAAGACCGCTCTTGTGCCAAAAAAATAAAATAAAATAAATAAAAGAAACACAAAAAAAAACCCTTCCTTTAACATGAATTACAACTGCAATGCCCTTCCACAACACCCCAAACATATTTCTCATCATCCTGTCCTCTTCCTTCCCTCCTGGGAAGAAAGCTGAGGCCTGCAGTTTTATGTATGCAAGAGCCTTGAAACAACAATAAAAGGCAGTTTTCTACTCACCATATCCACCACCGCTCTGCAGGAAAAAGATAGAACACAGAAGTGTTACAGCAAGAAAACCAATAAATTCCTGTCAGTGTTCTACAGAGCTGAAATAAATGGCTACAGGTTGGTGAGCATGGATGCAGCGCTCAGCCTCATTCAGAGTAGATCCAATTGAAAGCCACCCAGTTTTCATCCATGAGCCCGACTCCACCTCCTACCCCCATCCATCCCCCTCTTCCTGTCTCTCCTTGCATCTCTATCACCCCCCCATTTTCAGCTGCTGCTGTTGTTGCCAAGGCAACAAGCAATTCAAAAAGCTGTTGCCCAGCAACAGCAGGCAGTTTCCTGCCAGGTCTCAGGAAGGGAGGGAAGAGAAAAAGGCAGAAAGAAACCTTCCAGTCCTTCAAGAAAGCATTATGAGTGCTTAGCAACCAACCATGGCCACCCCCACCTCTCCACTCCCAACATCCTCTCTCTCTCTTTGCAGGAGAAAACAGGCTGGCCATGAAAAATACACAGCAAGAGGGCAATTACAGCCGATTATTATGGGGTGTCTCCGGGTGAGGTGATTATGGTCATTTGGTGGGATGGCTTACAACGTGCAACCTGCTTTGCATCCATGGACACAACTCATTTGTTTTGCCACCAAAATACTTTGATAATGGCCATAAAATACACAATCACAACATATTGTCTAGTGCTAGGACTAACCAGTGTGTTAGCCTGAGAATGCTCACGCCTAATAGAAAGCGAACAGCAGAGCTGCCTGCATTTAGCAAAGGGTCACTAACCATGTTATCGCTGTAGCGATCCGGTCTGCCTCTTCTGTCACTGGCGACGCGGAAGGGAACAGACAGGCGGAGAGGGAAAAAAAATAAAGATGCTGGATGAGTCGGATGGGAAAGAAATAGAAAATACTTGGGAGAAAAAAAATTGAAAACATTCCACAGAAGATTTCTGGTCTAGGTCAAACTGCACACACACGCTGAGCATGATTACAGTATAAACACATTTCCTCCCAACCATCTTCCCACACAGTAACAGGAACAGCTCTGACAGTGTTATGGTGAGAGGAGTGACAGGTGGTGGAGATGCTGATTAGTGCCAAATGCTGCAGTTATTTCCATCCTGAAGACTGAGTACAAATAGTGAAAATACCTAAAAAAGTTGTATGAGAAATGTGCTCTTGTACTTAACATAAAGGCTTGATTTCTTTGCATAAACCTTTAATCTGGAGATCATTTGAGAAAAGGTAAAAATTTGTAGTTTTATAACATGCATGTCTGACAATTTAGGCTAAAAGATAAAGGCAAAAAAAATATTCCATATGCATTTAATATATTGGTGTATATTGGTTGAGATTTTTTGTACTTTTCCTCTTTGAAGGTTTTACTGTAACACTGAAGCACCAAAATAAATAAAGTAGGTGCATTACAGACTATAAGGGGTCAGTAAACTGGGAAAACATACAGCAAGAGGAGCTTTTTTCAAAAAGATCACTAAATGTAAATAACTGACTGCAGTGTATACAGTTTGAGGCCAAGTAATTCTTCACCATATTTGTAAAATGAATGGTGATCATAAAGAAAATCATGATGTTGTAAAGTTCCAATTGTTGCAGGATAATGGTTTCAACGCTAGTAAGCCTACAGTTTAAAAAAAACAACACGGTAAGGTACTGGAAATGTTTTTTTTTTTCTTTAACTATTTGGGTAAAATATTCTTTTCACTGCATTTTTTACCATTGGTTTTTGGAGTTTAGTTTTGGGGGTTGGAAGCAGTAACTTACTTTGACCTGTCATCTGAGCCGCGGTAGGAGTCATAGTAACGATCGTCTCTGCTGAAAGCATGGAAATAGAGAAAATGAAACAACCAACTGTCAGCTTGAAAGAATATTAAACATAAATAGCTTTTCACTAAAGGTAGCATCAGCTTACAAATTAAATTTTGGATATTACTTTTCATAAAATAAAGCTGGTAAAATATTTGAATTTGTCTGACTGAAAAGAAAGCATTGCAGACAGATTTGTGGGGGAAAAAAAAACCAAATAGCTAGGTTTACAGTCGAGAGCACACCAACCAAGACACGGCTATGAAATTTAGAGGTGATCTCTGCCTCTAAAGTCTTGGCCTTGTCGCAGCACTCCTTGGTTTCAGTTGGTGTGGTCTTGAATAAAAATAGCTACAAATGAAGGACATCTCTAAGGTATAGAAACACTTAAAACTCAAAGACTTTATATAAATTGAGGAGACACATAGTCCGTGTGGATTAATTAAGAATAAAGTTGAAAAAGGAAAACAGAGCGTACCCTCCTCTGTATGGGTGTCCCATCGGCATGCTACGTGGACGCCCATTTCCTCTGCCAACCCTGCTGGGGTGGGGTGGAGGAGGACCCCGGCGTGGGCTAATATCATCGTAATCGCGGCGTGAGGGAGGCAGCGGGCCGCGTGCTCCTCTGCTGGAAGGCATTCTGTCATACCCACGATCACCACTGGACCTGCCTCCGCGCATAGGGAAGCCTCCCATGAGCCTACGGCCGCCTCCCCTCTCCTCAAACATCATGGTAAAACCTCCATATTCATACGTTTCGTCATAGAAGTTTGGATCATAGGGCTGTGTACGGCCTTTTATTGGAGCCTAAAGGGAACAAAGTTGTATTTTAATTCCTAAATGTGAAAAGTAATGTTTTACATTGGTATTTCTGTTCAATATCCAATAAACCTTTTATTTTTGTGATGAAAAAAAAAGATCTAAATAAAGTAATTTAGCTCAACACAAGAGTAAATTCCAAATCAGAAAACTTAGCACACATAAAGCACACATAGCATTCATTAACAGTGGGAAATCATTCTTACATCAGAGATGAGCTCCAGCATAGTCTTTATACACTCCACCACCCTCTCCATTTTACCACCAACCAGCACTACACGGTCTGTTGACTGGGGACAACACTCCTGAAACAGCTTGATGCTGGTCTTTGTGTTCTACGGAGACAATAAAAAAAAACACACATTCATGTATAGATACGGAGGGGAAGAAAGAGCTCCAAGACACTTTAAACCAAAATTCTCTAAAACAAGGAAATCATTGATATTAGAACTGATGAAAAGACGACACACTGCCCCCCACCTGATATACCTAAAAAGACTTATAAACACAAACCTCACGAAGCTCTTTGATCTTTGCTCCTTTAACTCCAATGATGGAACCCGCCAGACTCTGATGGATCAGCAGACGGAGCTCACAATCAAAGTCGTTGCCGTTGTACTGCTGGTACTGTTGAAATACAAGTAAATATCTTCATTAACCTCTCTTAAACACGCCTTTTCATTTTCTGAAAAAAAAAAATATTAGTTTAGCTAAAATGTTCTGTCCAAACCTTCTAGAATTACCTACTATATTTTCCTGTTAGGAAATATTTATAAACTTAAAACACACTATCACAAAAACACACCTTCACTGTAAAACTAAAAACGACTCTCCCATCACTCTTGTTCTGACGGCAGTTTTAAGATTGGTCTAAATGGTCAAAACTTCCAGACAAGTTGCTTAATCTGGTCGAAACAGCAGACATCGGCCAGACGCAACTTGTTTTCTCTGCAGTAGCATAACAGACTTTCTATTATTCCAACTAATGTTTGCTATGAAACCTCCCAGAAATACATAGCAGCCTTTATTTGTTGAAACTCGTATTGTTGCAACATTAACCAACACCATCAAATATGATGTAATAAGGAATAAAAACAAGTCAAGTTTAACCAGTGTATTAACTTGCAGGTAATCAAAATTAGGGCTGGGCGATATAGAAAAAAAGCTTATCGATAAAAAAAAATGCATATTGATCGATATCGATAATTATTGAAAAGATTTGAAACCATATTTTATGTGCAGCTCTGCCTTGACTTTTATAATATTGCTAAATTATTTAATTTTAATAAAAAACACAAACACACATTTCGAATTAAATCTTTATTTAACTAACTTTTTTAACCATAACAGAATTGTTTTAAAGAAAAATAACTTAAGAGACCTGAGTTATGTTATTAAATACTGACAAAGAATAAACTAAAGTGACCAAAATAAATATAACAAATAAATAAATGCCCCCCCACCGCCCCCATTTCCTGCTTTAACCTGAGTTATTACAGTTTCTGGCCCCTCAGCATTTTTCTCTCAATTGTTAGAACTACGTGGGAAACTGCCCAGAACTGAAAATATATATATATTTTCCGAAGATTCCTCGGAGGAGAGCCGCGTCGGGGCCTACACAGCTCGTACTCCTGCGGCTGTGAGCGGCTGAGAGAGACTATAAAAAAAAAAAAAAAATTGGTTGCGTTATCAGACTTCGTTTTCACTGGTTCCCGACACATTTTCCAGATGACTGTGGTTTGTTTTTGGTCCGACTTGCCATGACCGAAATACTGCCAGACTGCTGAACTACAAAAACCCTTCTTTGGAACAATTTCCTCCGACTCTCCTTGCTGCATCTTCATGTGCTCTGTGTTGTGGTTTGAGAGGGCGGCGCTTGGTGACGGAATGCCTGGGTCCGCGATTGTGATTGGTTGGGAGGAAGTAGTGACTAGCATAAACCTACATGCTAGGCTACAATGAGAAGGAAGGAAAACTGCGTTTCTTTTTTATCGAACTTTTATCGACCCTCTTTTTTTCTATTGCGCCACACGTCTATCGATCGATATATATCGTTATTGAATTATCGCCCAGCCCTAATCAAAATAAATTAATTAATTTAAAAAAATTGATTTATAATGCCTACAAGTTAACTTCATAAATACATAAAAAGAACTCACTTCTTCCAATGTGGGGATAATCTTCAGTAGGATTTCTCCAATAGTCTCTATGTCTGCACTGATGCTCAGGATTCTTCATAGTTTATCCACCAATGACAAAACAGAGCACAGCAACAGAGACAGGGTGGGGTAAGGGTGCCCAGAAGGCATCCAAGGGGAGAAAAAACAACGTTTCAAATTATTGAGTTCATTTATTACCATCTGTCTAACTCAATTAGTTACACTACTACAAATAAATAACAATTTCAAGTTTCCTCGTATCTTACTCTAAGTTGGTGATATCTGTATAGCGAAGATAGCAAAAAGCTTGCGCCAAAATACATCCTTGCCCAGAAAAAAGCAGTACAGTGGAAAAACTAAAAAGGACCCAAAAGAAAGACGAACTGGTTTTGGCGATCATTGAGGAAGCGAGATGGGGAAAGTGAAGTTTTAGGAAGAGATTTGTGCCATAGTAAACTCTAGTTTTATGGGAAAGGTTGGTGGATGCACACCACAAATAAAACTTTCTAATTGAGGTGACAAATCAGGCAAGAAAAAAAGGAGGGTTTTTTAAACCTTAGTTTTCATGTTTGAATTTAATGAAAATAGCGACCAGAATATTGTTGTCTGTATCCACCATGTCAATAAAATAGTTTACTGATAAAGACAACTACAGCAAGTTATACATGGAAGCAGCAAAAGCCTGAAGATATGGAAAGGTAGGAGTAGATTACACTATTGTAAAGTTGTAAATTTCTATAATAGGGTTTGGATGAATCTAAATTAAAGCGAATCACTAATGAAAGGACCAAGTAAAAGCCTTTTGTTTTGTTTTTGTTTTTTAACTCCAGCAAATAAAAATCAGATGACACAGAGCACAGACACGGAAATAAACACTCACTGTTGGGGATTCAAATGAAAAATATCTAAATGTCATCAGGAATTCAAAGAGAAAATAGTTGAGATGAGACTAAAGGGAAATTAGTTCATTAAACTAACAGTAAAACCAAAAACACTGTTATATTTATATATAAACAAAGATTTTTGAAAGGAAAGGTAAAGATACAGGACAGATGGCCACAAACAAAAGAGAAAACCTAAAAAAATAAAAAAAAACCCAACAACAACAAACAACCCACAACAGATTTTAGCATTTTTTTTGACAGTGGAGTGACCCTGACAACACCAACTTTAGTAACAATTCTGGCATGACTGCAAAAATGGCATAGAAAGTATATTAGCATGTTGTTTAGCAGAATTAACAGGCAGAGAAGGATAAAAATTGCATTTAGGCTCAGGCTGAAACACTTTAAATCTGTTTAAACATAGTGACTTGACAAAAGGCAGGACTACAAATTATTGTTCACTTCTTCTTGTTTGTTTGACCTGTAGTCAGGCATTGAGAGGGAGGAGCTTAGGGACATACCGCTCAGGCCCACTGCTGTCTGGGACTGACACACTGGCATTGTACTGGGCGTGGCATGGGCAGGGGCCGGGGCCATTCGAGCACAGATGTCAATCAAGTAACACGCCCATTTAGGGACAGGGCACGATTATGGGCGGGGCCAACCAGGGTGTCAGGTGGGCGGGCGCAGGAGGGGCCATCCAGAGCATGGGCAACAGAGGAGGAGGAGGAGGAAGTGGGCAAAAAAGTAAAGAGTAAAAATAATAAACAAGGGAGAGGGGAGAGGAATACATTTTTAATATACAGGCTCTGCAGTGTTGAAATGTGATTTTAAATTGATTCTCTCAGAGATTGGGTTGTCAAAGAGAGAAAAGAAGAAACTGACATTGGAAAAAGGGAAATGGCATATTATAGAGCATGAAAAGTTTATTGTTGGGGGAATAAAACCAGAGACAGTGAAAGAGGGGAAGAACTGTAAATGACTAGATGAAAAGGAAATGACAGAATTATTCCACAATTGGCCAGTTTTAAGTAATTTAAAAAATAAACATTTCTATAGACAAATATAAAAGTTTGTTACTTCAGCACAGCGCCAGTTTTATTTCAAAATCATGGGGAATTTATAGCCAACCTAAATCAAAAGGAATACCATTTAAATAAATAAATTGGGCTTGTATATCTTGGGGGAATTTAGCTGATGCAAAAAATTGTCATTCATATCAGAACAGGATAAAACCCAATTCCCAGGTTTTGTCTGAAGGAATAAAATGGCTGGCCTAGGTGCTAGCAAGGTTAACAACAATGGAAATAATTTAAGAGTACTTCAAGAACTTTTAAAATGTATAAAGGGTCAATGCAAAACCTGATTTTGTCCGGAGATGGCTGGGTCTTCAGGGCCAATCAACAATAAAATAAAAAATATATATAGGTGCAAATAAGAAAAAAATTGTGTACTCACATCTGAACGAAGGGCTTTGATGTTTTTTCCACCCTTCCCAATTACTGCTCCTGCATTCTGCAATCCAAAAAAAGGAAAATTGCACACGCTAATAAAGGGTTCTAATACAAAATTCATTATCTTAAACAAAATAACTATGAATAAAATCCTAAAGAATGAACATGAACCACTAAGCATACCTATCATCAAGTCATAAATGTGATTATAATAAAAGCTAAATAAATACGGAATAAACCACAGAGACTAAATTATGGTATAAAAAGGAAAGAAAATGACCTTGCTCTGCAGGAGAATGCGGAGCTCTACCATCTCATCAGAGTTTCTGGAGCGTTTGAAGGATTTCTGTTCATCTGCATCCTCAGCAGGGCGTTTACCTGGTATAAAGAGAATATAAAAACTGAGGAGACACTTCAACAAAATGATATAGCAGGTACACAAAATAGTGAGTAATTCATATGCATCTAATTTTTCAGCTGGATTCACAAAATAATCAGACCACAAAATATATATTTTAGGAAACTATTAATTTCAGTAGAACAATTAAGTTTTACTGCAATCCTGATATCGCAAAGCAAAAAAATAAATAAATAAATCATGCAGCTGTACAACAAAAGGCAAACAAGTTTCAGTTTGTACCATTTGTCTCCGTGTTGCTGAATGAGGTCTCCTCCTGCTGATCAATTTCTGTCTCCATGGTCTTCGAAGAGAATAGTAAAAAAAGTGAGGACCTTGATCTGAGGTACTGGTGGCAGGAGCAGGAAAAGAGAAGATGAAACCCAGCCCCCGTGTACTGATATTGTCTCCTATCATATTCAGACCAATTAAAATGGGATGAAAATAAAAAAGATGTGGAGAAAGTGCAATCTTACTAGTCTGGGGATGAAAATGATTAGACAACCGATACTCACCGATATTTATAAGGAGGACAAGGGCGTGTTGAAAGGCGGACCTAAGTGAAGAGGGACCAAACAGCTCTCTCAAACCTGCGAAGGAGGGAAGCTCAGTCTTTTAATGTTGAAATGTGGCCAAACTAAAAAAGATCTCAAACATAAACTCTTCTCTTGCAACTTTTGTTAACATGTTAGATAAAACAGACTTAATAGTTAGCGATAAATATTGACATTTTGGGACAAAAGTAGCCCCGCTTTAATACCAGAACATATCTACGAACATTTGATCGTAGGGTGCCAACTATCAAACAGATCAGCGGATAACTTAATCAGTTATGCTTATCAGTATATAGTTCACGGGGAGCTGCACGATAAACGTATCACTCACAAACATGCGAATCAAACGGTCGCCTCCGTTCATGAGTAAACAACACGGGTCACATACTGGTCATGACAAAAAAAACAAATCAGGATTAGTTCCGATGAAGCCAAGCGTACTTCACTGGAAGCTAGTTTCCGATTAACTCCCTCCATTTCAGCAAATATGGAAAGCGCAACTCTATTGCTTTAGGGCGATTGGGTTGCAAGAAATTTCAAACAGTCTAAACATTACCACTAATTTAAGCTGAGGCCAAAATGGCAATTTAACAAAACAACTGTGGTCTGTCTGCTAAATCGGAATCCAGCTTTACCGTGGTGCTAAACGGCTGCCATTACCTAAGCTTTAAGAACCACGCATTAGCTTCCAGTCATTTCCTTGTACACGAATTCAGAGTTTTAAGCGAGTGACCCGGATTGCTGTGCACAAAATATTTAGTGACAATCTATTTAATTAAATTTCAGCCGTCAATTTCAACTAGCACGCCGTTTAACACAAAAACCAGATGTAGCGAAGTCAGCTAAAAAAAGGCTAGCTAGTTTCGCCATGTTGCCGAAGCTTAGGCTAACCGTAGCTAGATAGGCCAGCTAGTCGGGTAACAATGTAGGGAACACGGAAACAAGAATAAAAAAAAAACCGGATAACACGTACTTGTTTTGATTTTAATAATGCACTCTAAATATAAGCAGCGGGGACCAGAGAATAATGGAAAACATCGTCAAAAACACAAACCTGCAGCGTTTAACACCTCGCTTGCTGACCTGCTTCCTTCTCGTTCGAACCTGGTAACGAACAAATCGACATGCCGTGTTCTGATTGGCTGAATAGAAAACACGTCAACGTTCCGAGGACTACGATTGTCTGGATTTAATGTCAATCACATGAAAAGGGGCGTTCACATCACAGGCCTTATTTCTGGATGCGGATATGCAAAGCTGAAGGTCCAATTGATGCTGTTGGTAAAAATAACTTACCTACGAACCTTATGATAACCTGCTCGTTGTTGTGACACATTGTAGAACGTTTGTGTGTTGGATTTAGGGCAGTTGATGTGTTTAGGTCAAGAACATAAAAATTGTACTTTTTCTCCAGTTTCGCTAATCGACTTGTCGGTAGTCCACTTTGGCGCCTTCGTTACGCACTAATTCATTGATGAAAGCACCTAATTTTCTGCTTAGCTAATATCGTTCCCAAAACTTAATAAGTAATACACACTTTTAGTGATGGCATGCTATTATTGCTCTTATTTATTTGATTATTTCTCCGCCTTTAACTTATAATTTTATACTGTACTTTTTCTTATTTACATAAAGCCTACATATTATTAATAAGCCTTTCTCTGGTTAGGATTTTTATATATTCTGTATTTGCATGCTGGAATTAAGAGTTAGAATTAAATAGAACCACTTTAGATATAAAGAAAGATCTCATAACAAAAATGTGAACTTGTTTGTATGCGTTGGCTGATAACAGAAAAATTTTCTAAACAGTAGAGGTCATAGAGGAGGATGGCCCCAGAGACCCCCTCAGTAGTAGGAGCCACCCAGGCCTGGCTGCAGTCCTCTCAGCGTGTCCGGGTACCCTTTGCTTGGCTTCAAGCTTGTGTTGAGTGGATTCAAGGAGAGGCTGGAGGAGCAACTCATCTATCTCAGCAGCAAATCAATCAGCAGGTAGGTACAGACAGAGTCAATCTGGTCAAAAGCATTTTTTTAAATCAATTTTACTGCTATTTCTTTCTATGAAAGTCAGAATTCTGAGATTAAAGTCAGAAATCCGATTAAAAAATCAGAATTCCAAAAAAAGTCAGAATTCTGAGACTGAAGTCAGAATTCCGAAAAATAAGTCAGAATTCTGAGATTAAAGGAATAGTACACCCAAAACATGATTAGCCTTAGTTTTCTACTCACCCCCATGCTGAACAACACTCTGGAGTACTTTTTTGATATCTCAAATGCACCTGGAGATCTGGGAGGCTTCTTGCTGTCTGCTGACATTCAAATGGATGTCTATGGTGCCCGAGGCAGAAAGGTCCATAAAAGTCCACAAAAAACGTGTCAATATTCCTCCATACTGCTCGTAGCGTCCATAATTTACTCGAAACAAAGTCATTTAGAATGTTTTTAGAGCATAAACAGTAGTGTATAGGATTTCCTAAACGCGCGCACATGCGAGTTCGCGAGTCTACGGAAACCTCGGCAGACCAAACCAGATGAAAGTGCGCATTCAGCTCGGCAAAGAACCCATGCTCTTCCCCAACTATGAAGTCCTCAGACATTTTTCTTTCGTTGTTTATTTCTTTGCACATTTCTTCTTCTACGCTTGCATTATCGGCAGAGCAGACGCTGAATGCGCACTTCAGTCAGAACTCTGAGATTAAAGTCAGAATTCTGAGAAAAAAAGTCAGAATTCTGTTTTTTTTTCCCTTATTAAACTGAAATAATATTTAAAAATCTGTTAACTTTTTTATTTTTTTTTTCTGTGGCCTAATCCTCCTCTGTATATTTCTCACTGTTTCTACAGGTCACACAATTATTTTTGCTGCAATAAACATCCATCCAAAGTCAAATTCTCTGTTTGTGAAAATCATTTTCTTTTATTATTTTGTTACCCATCACTCAAAAAAAAACAAAAACAAAAAAAACTAATGCAGATAAGGATGTTAGACTGGGGGAAAAAATCTGTATTGTTTTTGGGAAGTGGAAAGTACAGCCAGTGTGGCTGATTCTTAACCTATATTCTTTTCATGCTAAATTGGGAACAATTAATTCTAAAAGACATCTTATTATAAAAGGAGAAAAATGGCTAACATATTAGAAATGTCTGTAAATAAGCTCCTAATTTTTATTCTCTCTCTCTCTTTTTTTTTCCCCCCACATCTTAAGAGCAGAGTTTTGTCTGTAATTTATCGACCGCTTTTTGACAGGAATGAGTTATTTATTTGTATTCTAAACCTGGCCTCCTTTATGATTTCTTTCATAGTAAAGCAGTGAAAATCTGTTGTGGAGTCTAATCCAACATTTCCCTACTCTTTGTAACCTGAACTCTTTTTATTTTATTTTATGTTTTTCTTCTGATGACCAAAGGCACCATATAAAGCTTCTAGTGTGGTGCACTACTGAGGGAAATGAAAGTTGAAGTGAATTTGATATTACATGTATCTTGGAATTATTCGGACTATAAGGGCTATAAAACCCATGAGCAAAAACTCAGAGAAAAAAAAAAAAAGATCAAAGTTGATTTTTATCTTTTAGAGCGATTCACCTCTAGTATGGATCTTGTTTCATTCACCTTGACTGCTAAATCTGGCACTGATCTCAATGATTGGTAAAACTCATGGTATGATAATAAGTTCCAAATAAAATAAAAATAAATGTGGTTATTCCCAATCGGTAGTATTTTTCTTTTACTTTGAAAGTCCCAAACCCTGATTATTTTTTGGTTACTACAGAGATCAAACCATAGTAGGGTAGGTGATGATCATGAGAAATAAAATGACACCTCCTAGTCTGAAAGAACAAAAAACATAGTTTCTGTTGCAACAGATAAGACTTTTAGTGTAAACAGCCCGTATCCATCATGCTGGGTGTCAGCTGTACCAGCTGGTGGTGGCGTCATGTGGGGTATGTTTTGTTGCACTGACGCATCTCTCATACGCCACAGTGGACCGAAATATTGCTGCTGAGCAGCTGTGTCCTTCCAGGGCCAAAGTCTATCTCTTTTCCAACAAATACTTCTGGAAGATATTTCTTCCATTTTCCCCAAGGGGCACATTGTTTTCTTATGGTTTCACCGTCACCATGTTATCAGTTTATTCAAGTAGGCCACAAGGTCCCTTAAAGTCAATTGTCCTTTTTTTATATGATGGAGACAGTCATTAATAAGAGATGAATAAGCTGCAGGCATTTGGTGATACTGATTCACCCTGTGGTGAAGGTAACCGTTTGTTAAATCATTGCTTTGACTAATTCAGCTGTTTTAGTGTGTATCATTTGATCTCTGGCAGGGTCAGTTTTGACGAGTCATGTAACAAGTAGGAATAAACCGATGGGCAACCGTCTTTTTGAAACTAAGAGATTTAGTGGGATTTTTCAGAATTTCTGTTTGTTTGCTGAACAATTTCAGGTTCTGGATCAGTGGCTCCTGACAGATCTGAGGGACCTGGATTACCCGGTTCTCCCTGAGGGACTCACCCAGGCCCAGAAGACAGAACTCAATGGTGCCTTTTGTGTCCAGGTGCTAGTCTTCTTTTTTTTTTCTGAAATACATAATTTCTCACCTTTTCAGAATTTATTTCCGACCTGGCCAGAGATGAGAAATTTCTAAACATTGAGAAAAATACATTTCTTTTTTTTTTTTTTTTTTTTTTTATGAAAATGAAACGTAAAATTAAGCCCTTGCTTAATTGTCAACAATTGCAGTTTCTATAAAACCATTAAATGGTTAAATCCAACAATAGAATTTCTCATTTCAACCATTACATTGGAAATAAAGGGGTTCCTGGGAGGGAAAGCCAACATGACTTAATATGACTGGAGAGGTATGATATATTATTAGTGGGGATGCTTTGTATGACATAAATGCCAACAAATCAAACAGTGATTTGATTTATAGAGCACCTTTCAGTCAAATATATCCTAGTGTCTCACAAAAGTTAAAAATGGAGGCTAATAAGAAGAAATAAGAAACGGTCAAACTAAAGTTAAAACAAAGCGGAATATGATTTCATGAAATAAAGAAAACCAAGGAAATAAGATTTAATTATTGGCCCTTTTAAATTCATCATTAATATGTACTTGTTCTGAAAACAATGAAATGTTTTTCTTTGCACGAAACTCTAATAAAGCTTCATAAACCTTTTCAGGATCCCAAGAAGATGATTTGTTTGTTTTGTACATTTCTGTCATTAACTCTTATATAAAAAGTAATTCTTCTGTAATTCCAGTGCTGATTGGAAAATGTGTATTTAACTCAGTCAGATATAAAAACAGCTTAAATTTCTGTTTCTGTCCTTATGAGGAAGCAGAATGGCTATACTTCTTTGAAGACCTGTCTAAGAAGTTGGATTTTTTTCCGATTGCAAGTCACCATCCAGGAGTAATGAGACATGCCTGTAGTAGCAGAGAGAACTCTGGTTTATATTTTACAATAATAGTTTCTGATAGAAAAGGTTTACTTTGTAATTCAGTTTGCAATCTTAATTTATGTAACGACGGTTCATTTGCTTGTATAAAATACAGTATTAAGTAAACAGCTTTTTCATGAAAAAAAGAAAAAATTAAACCATATTGATATTTTTGTGTAAATAAATCTTTGTTGCGCCCATGCCATTTTGTGGCCCCGATACCTGACTATGCAGTATTGGAGAATACCATGCCGATACCATCTGTTTGAAATTTATGTGTGTGTATATATGAAGAACTGCATACTACTTGGATGTGAAATAATTGCCATCATAGCTTTGTTAAGCTGCTGCCTACCTTTGTGAAGCAGGAAAAAGACTAATACAAAGTAAATACAGTAGAATGTTTTATTGCCTGCCTGAAATGGGTGACAATAGTTGAATAAACATTTGACTCTTAAAATGATATCAATGCCCTTTTTGTTGGTACTCGCCCATACCGATACCACAATTCTAGTGCTGGATCGGGGCCCCGGCTGATACTGGTATCGGTGCAACACTAGTATAAATGATCAGATTCTGAAATCCAAACTGAAGTCTACATAAACACTAATTTCAGAATTTACAAATATCAAGCAAAATTGGGTACATTTGTGAGGATTATATGTATTAATAAAATATAACAAATTTTTATCTGATGGAGGTTAAATAAAAGGATTAAAAGACTCTCCATCCACTGCTGTAGGGGTGAGAATTTC